AGAGTACATTTGTTTATGTGTTATGAAGCACGATGGACAATATTTAAAGAGTTCAGCCCGAAGACCATCTTCTCTCGGAGCCTTATTGACCTTAAGCTTATTAATAACAGATATTATTTCTTCTTCCGTCGGGGACTCGCAGTTGCAAGCATATGGTTCAGCTAAGGTATCAGTTATATCAAGGGCAACAGATGGCGCTTCATGGATAAATTTGACCTCAAAAAATTCTTTCCATCTCATGATGTGATCCTTTATACTCTTGACTGGCACGCCATTGCTGACCTTTACCATTTCACTGATCGTTCCCGAAATAACTGCTTTATGAAGAAGGCGGAATAGTTTTCCTGTTATCATCTAATCGAGCCGCCGTCTCCATTCTCAAGGCCATTTTACTCCAATAGCGATTTCTGTTCCGCCGTGCTGCTTTCGTTGCAAATATTCGAAGCACCCGGTCCCGGTAGTTAGGATTACCTGACATTCGTGCTTTTTTTAAATAGTTGGATAGTTGCTTCTGATACCCAACTAGCACACTTCCTACTAATATCTCCTAACGTGGAAGTGGCTGACTTTCGGAGATATTCCTTTAGTTTGGACCAGTATTCATTTGCCCAAAAAAATCATTAATATTTGTATCACTGAGATGCTTCAAATATTAGTTTGAAATGTGCTCACTGCACCCCGAATTTTTTAGTTTGAGATAGTTTAAGGAACTTTGGGGGTGTTGTTTTCTGCGAGTCTGCATGTCAGTTTTATGCGGATCTTGGCTCGAACCGTAACATGGTCAGATCCATGAAGATTGTCCTTTTGAGCGCTGCGGTAGGAAGACTATTTAGTACGGAAGAACTCTTCCAACGGTGACTGACTAAGATATAATCAATCTGATTGAAGTGTTGGTTATTCGGGGAGTTCCACGCGATTGGATGTTTTCTACGATACCGGAAGTAAGTATTACTAATAAGAAGTTCATGCTTTTCGGCATAACGAAAAAGGCGTTACCCATTGGCAAACCGGTCTTCGATGTCATATTTGCCAATCATCGAGTAGAGATCATCGCAGCCGCATTATGATCTTCGCGTGTATTCCAGTCTTCCTCGATTATGACCATGTCATATTTTGGTGGAGGCTTTGTTAATAGCTAAAGTTCCGCATAGAACTTATCTTTATAACGGTCATCTGTCGACAGAGTTGTACTGATAAGCACTGATGACCGAACTTATCCTTAAAACAGGCATAGGCCATGCCCTTTACCGGTTTCCACTTAATCGCCCCGAGCCTCCGAAGCATCACAGTGATATAGTCAGTATCTCTGCTCAGAGTCAGGATTAATAATCATTCGAGATCCGATATAAGGAAGATGGACCTCCGATAAGCAAGCGATATCCACACGATATTTGGAAAGGATGTGGACAGTGATCACTTGACTTGCAACGCCCATAAGCTTTCTGATGTTCCATGCTGGTACGACTAAAACCTCGTCATCCTTATCCTTACCCTTGATAGGTTTCGAGCAATTACCCTGGTTTGCGTGCATATTTTATTTATCAGCCTTGGGATCGCTTTAAGCCTGGATTGTGCATTTATCGCATGTACCGGGCTGGGAGTATCATGCGCACCGGGAGACACGGACGTCGTATCAAAAATAAGGAGATCGGACAACAGCTAGCTAGTGCACCTAGGAAAGAAGCCAGAAAGCTTATGGATGTTGGGAGCTAAGAAATAATCATCCAATAACGAGGGAAAATACAGAGCACACCACAATTTTTTGATTATCTCGAGTTAAAAGATTCAGGGCACATTTCGGGCTAAGGCATGACTTAAAGGACTTCAAGGAACCTTATTTTCTCTGAAATTGCCAAGGAATATTGATAAAATATTGGTCCCAATTGAACTGAACCTCCATAAGTCAGCTAAACCCTACGATATATGATTCGGAGGAATATAACCTGGGTGTAGGACAAAATGGTCCAGTTATTCGATCGCATCGTCAGTGCTTAGAAGAAGATGCTAGCCATCGGTCTCCACAGAATGGAAAAAATCGTAGTGAAACGGGGATAGAACGATATGGTTTTGAACATAGAGGTGGCTTCAGTGGGAAAACCATCCTGCTTACTTCATAAGACAACCGAGGCTTGAAAATCGGAAATTGAGGGCGAAATGATCAAAAATAAGAAGGGAAGTCTATTAAAACTCTATTAAAGATTATTTCATCCGATCCGATGGAGCGAGTTCTTTGAATCCAAATTTAACTACAGGCATCCCATTCAACATCCTGGACATAACTGGGATGCATTTAGAACCTAAGATTGCGCTTGTCATCAACTGAGCACGAGCCAACTTTTTTTTTTTTTATTCATAAACCTAAGTCCAATAAAACTCAAAAATGGTCTGGTGAAATCCTTAAATGATGACTAACTTTCATAACACCACTGCAGAGATTATATTCATTATTGTGAGAGGATCAAATGCCATATACTGGAACAAGGAAATTCCTAAGAAAGGATGACACACCTATCGAAGAATCAGCTTACCAGATGTTTCTGGGATAATCTATCGCTATGTATTTTTCATCGATTTCGCTGGTGCAGATGTCAATTAGATCAACAGTATGGAATTCTGGTAATTTATACAACATGAAGGTATTTCAGATACATTAATCAATCAAAGCATTATCGAAACATTTTATCAGCATACATAGATGCAAGTATGAGGAATTGACATATTCTTTTCGAATATATGCGTCAAAGTTGAGTTCTGCGTTCTCTACTTTCAACTATGAGATAGAATGGATCGCTTGTTGCACTCAATAGGTGCACAGATCAGTCCAGAACATCGTATCATGAACCATGAATATCCTCATCGCTGACAGTTACAAAGAACAGATCAAACGACAGCAAAAACTGGCCTTCAAATCAAATTAAATAAGACGAAACAGTTTTTTAATCTTATAACCAGACGTTGATAAGATAGCAGATTAAATAAATTCATCAACGGTCGAAGGAGTGTCGAATTCAACATATCGGATCCAATCTTATAATAATCAGACGATAAATGAAAATCCAGCTGGGACATATGCAATCAGAGATGCATTCTTTCTTCTGGCCGAAACCGCCGCGCCGTGAAATCAGATTTAAAAGGAAAGTTCGCAACTATCTGGCTGTAGTACGTGTAGCCATGGTATTCAGCAATGAAAGTTGCCAGTGGAAGATAAGATGAAACTGTACATCCCATACCCATCAAATAGACAAAGTCTCATAAGATTGTATCTAATTTGTTCGAATACAAGGTATATTAAGAATATCGTTAGAAAACGTCGATTAGCGTTGGTTTGGCCATGTCACCCACAAGAATTTTCGCATACCTCACTACTTGCTAAACCTTGTGATGGATGGCGTGAAATTGCGGGGAACTAATCAAAACCTGGAACGATACGATTAAGGAAAATTTTTAACGCATAGATGGTAAGGGAATGAGGATAGAAAAATGAGTAGCTTCAATTACTTCTATCATAGGGTCAAGAGCCTTGGGAGCTTCTTACATTTTTACACTAGACGTCAGTGTAGCACGCCAAACCAGAAATGGTGTGGGCTGCTACAGAAAGAAGAAAAAGAAATAACCATTACCTCTCGTTTTTGTTGGAAATTCATGAATGTCTTATCCGTTTTCTTCTCATCATACTTATCATCAATATTTTGACCTTTAATAATTTTTTCAATTTCTGATAAATCAATGTGCGGTCCATCCTTATTATCGTTTGATTTTTCTTAAAAATTTTCATTGAATACGAATCTATAAAATGATTTGCTATATTAATATGTATATCCTGAAAAAACCCATCCAACTTCCCCAAAAAAGCCCAAAATTTCTTTCGGATCATCGTTCGCATTTGATTGTTCTTTCTTATTCTTTTCTAACAGCTCTCATCATTACTGGTTAGACTGGCTCCGCTGCAAAGGTCAGGTTATCCAAGCTCCTTGATCCGACGCCATCGCTGACAATATTCCTTTTTCCATCGTCTATAAATCGCTGGTTCCCCGATACGTTTAAAATCTTTCTTGATCCAATCCAGATTGACTGGCTCTTCTCGTTTTTTATGCCAACCATCATAGGGTTCCACAAATAGCGAAATATGCGCCAACTCCTGTGGCGGACGACGGAGAACCCTAATCAGCGAAGGCGAGATACTATAGGATAACATTATTAATACAAGTGGTATTTAAGATGGATGCGCGATTTTATCCGCTAGATGGATCAGCAAAATGTAGATATGAGTGGTCAAGAGCTGAGAATTTCTTAATATTTTCCACTCTCACTAGCCATGTTTCGTAGCCATATAGCAAGAACAAGCGAATTATAGCTATATGGACATGGATTTTCGTTTTTATGGTAATTTCACGATTCTATAAATCTTTCGTCAGCCAAAAAAAAACGCTTATACACTTCTAACTGCCGTTATCCGGGTTACAATTTCATCTTTTGCCTGGCCATTTGGGATTAGAGTGGATCCAAGATATTTAAAGTCGAGCACTTCCTAAAACGACAATGAATTGATGAACATAGGTACCAGCATCATTATCATCTTATATAAGACGAAAATACTTCCGTTTTATTTACATTGATTTTGAATCCAATTCTCGTTGCAGTTGTTGACATATTGTTTAACATTAATTGCATTTCATTATATATAGTAAGCAAAAAAAATTATATCATCAGCATCAAAGTCTGTAATGCTATGCTCTACACTGTCACTTTTCGAGTGCCGACAAGCGATGCCCATTATTCAGTCTAGCTGAATATTGAATATTTAAATTCCAAAAAATAATCAATATTTAGTGGTAGGTTCATTTATTTGCTTCGACTCAAATCGATTATTCCTAAGCTGTTATTGTGAATTATGAAGTTTTTTTTCCTTTCTTCGCGTTTCCCGACGCGCATGATACTCTCAGCCCGGTGGTACATGCGATAAGTGCACAATCCAGGCGATCCCAAGGCTGAAAAAAAATATGCACGCAAGCCAGGGTAATTGCTCGAAACCTATCAAGGGTAAGGATAAGGATGGCGAGGTTTTAGTCGTACCAGCATGGAACATCAGAAAGCTTATGGGCGTTGCAGGTCAAGTGATCACTGTCCACATCCTTTCCAAATATCGTGTGGATATCGCTTGCTTATCGGAGGTCCATCTTCCTTATATCGGATCTCGAATGATTATTAATCCTGACTCTGAGCAGAGATACTGACTATATCACTGTGATGCTTCGGAGGCTCGGGGCGATTAAGTGGAAACCGGTAAAGGGCATGGCCTATGCCTGTTTTAAGGATAAGTTCGGTCATCAGTGCTTATCAGTACAACTCTATCGACAGATGACCGTTATAAAGATAAGTTCTATGCGGAACTTTAGCTATTAACAAAGCCTCCACCAAAATATGACATGGTCATAATCGAGGAAGACTGGAATACACGCGAAGATCATAATGCGGCTGCGATGATCTCTACTCGATGATTGGCAAATATGACATCGAAGACCGGTTTGCCAATGGGTAACGCCTTTTTCGTTATGCCGAAAAGCATGAACTTATTAGTAATACTTACTTCCGGTATCGTAGAAAACATCCAATCGCGTGGAACTCCCCGAATAACCAACACTTCAACCAGATTGATTATATCTTAGTCAGTCACCGTTGGAAGAGTTCTTCCGTACTAAATAGTCTTCCTACCGCAGCGCTCAAAAGGACAATCTTCATGGATCTGACCATGTTACGGTTCGAGCCAAGATCCGCATAAAACTGACATGCAGACTCGCAGAAAACAACACCCCCAAAGTTCCTTAAACTATCTCAAACTAAAAAATTCGGGGTGCAGTGAGCACATTTCAAACTAATATTTGAAGCATCTCAGTGATACAAATATTAATGATTTTTTTGGGCAAATGAATACTGGTCCAAACTAAAGGAATATCTCCGAAAGTCAGCCACTTCCACGTTAGGAGATATTAGTAGGAAGTGTGCTAGTTGGGTATCAGAAGCAACTATCCAACTATTTAAAAAAAGCACGAATGTCAGGTAATCCTAACTACCGGGACCGGGTGCTTCGAATATTTGCAACGAAAGCAGCACGGCGGAACAGAAATCGCTATTGGAGTAAAATGGCCTTGAGAATGGAGACGGCGGCTCGATTAGATGATAACAGGAAAACTATTCCGCCTTCTTCATAAAGCAGTTATTTCGGGAACGATCAGTGAAATGGTAAAGGTCAGCAATGGCGTGCCAGTCAAGAGTATAAAGGATCACATCATGAGATGGAAAGAATTTTTTGAGGTCAAATTTATCCATGAAGCGCCATCTGTTGCCCTTGATATAACTGATACCTTAGCTGAACCATATGCTTGCAACTGCGAGTCCCCGACGGAAGAAGAAATAATATCTGTTATTAATAAGCTTAAGGTCAATAAGGCTCCGAGAGAAGATGGTCTTCGGGCTGAACTCTTTAAATATTGTCCATCGTGCTTCATAACACATAAACAAATGTACTCTCTGGTTTGGGAAAAAGAAATATTACCAGACGATTGGAGTAATTCTGATCCCAATTCTCAAAAAAGGTGATAGGACATACCGCGACAATTATCGAAATATCAGCCTATTAGACGTCTCAGGGAAAATCTTTGACTCCCTTTTACTCAACAGACTTATGGAAGTACGAGACAGCAGGATGCTCCCTAATCAAGCTGGATTCAGACCGGAGCGCGGTTCTGTTGACCAGATATTCACGTTAAGAGGATGTTGGGACATCGCTTCAGATATTTGCAACCCAATGTTACGTGTTTCATCGACTTTGCGGCTGTCTTTGATTCATTTGATAGAGAGGAGCTTTGGAGGTTGATGAAATGCGATGGCATTCCAGAGAAGATCATTCGACTCATAAAGTCATTTTATGAGCGTACGTCGGCGCAGATCTGTGTATATGGGGAACTAACAGACTCCTTCGAAATAAGAACTGGTGTCCGTCAAGGATGCATCATTTCCCTTACAATATTCAACTATGCGATAGACTGGGTAATGGACACCTCTTGTCGGCATTTAAGGGATATCCAAATCGTATCAAAGATCTTGAATAAGCTGGTGATGTAGACCTTTTTGCTGACAATTATAATGAAATGCAAATCATGTTAAATAATGTATCGACAATTGCAGTGAGACTTGAACTCAAAATCAATGTCAATCAAAACGAAAGTATTTTCGTCTTATGTGCAAGAAGCTAATAAAATGCCTCTTTTTGTAAATTCATTGTCGATTGAGGAAATGCTCGATTTTAAAAACCTTGGGTCCACTCTAATACCAAATGGCCAGGCAAAAGACGATAGCTCAGATCACAACAGCTAGAAATGCGTTCTTCCGAAAACTTGACGAAAACTTTATGGAGCCGTCGTGAAATTACTATTAAAACGAAAGTCCGCATCTATATAGCCATGATTCGTTCGATCTTGCTGTATGGCTCAGAGACATGGCCAATGAAAGTGGAGGATATTAAGGAGTTATTGACCACTCTTGTCAAAAAATATTTTACGGGTCCGAGGGCACGTTCACCATCGTCCGCCACAAGAATTGTCGCATATTTCGTTACTTGCTAAACCGTGTGAAGGATGGCGTCAAAAGCGAGGTGGGCCAATCAAGATCTGAACTGATACGGTCAGGAAAGATTTTGAACATATAGATGGGCAAGCAATATATGGACTTAGACGATGGAAAAATGAATGGCTTCTATTATTGTCGACGATGACATCAGATCGCGCCAATTGGAATCGTTTTACCCTTGTAACCGTTGGATCCAGCCTAACCAATGATGGTGAGAGCTGTTAGAAGAATTCGCCATATAATCAGTATAAGTGATGATTATTTATTTCTCCACTTTAAATGGTTTTTTTAATTTAACTTGTTTTAATATAAGTAAGATCCTTTCATTTAAATCTGGGTATAGTTAGGTGTCTTTAATCAGGCGGATTTCAGTGCAGATTAGATTTACGAAGAATTAATTTTAATTGTTATTATATCCCTCAATTTCGAAAAATAATTATTTGTCTTGCTGATTTTTCAAATGATTTATCAATTAAGTTAAAATTTTTTTAAATTTTGTTCATATCGAACATTCTCTTTTCTTTTTTTGAAACAATTTCATTTTAGAAAAGTCGTCATGAGCGAAGCTATATTTTTGGATGGAACGCGGCCGGCATAATAATTGTTATTATTATTGCTGCTTTGTCTTTACTTATTTATATGCGAAAAATTGTAATTAATTTAAATTTAATTTCAAAAAAGTTTTTTTATTATTTTATATTTCGAAATTTCCTTAATATTATCCTTTGAAAGACATTTTTATTTTGAAATTTATTTATATTGCGGAAAAATATAAAAAAATTTTTCGCGAAAGGGGCTGTAATTACAAATAATTGATAGCACGAATGGACTGATATTCAAACCCGTTAAATGAATGATTAGTAGTATAACATATATGTTTAAAACGTGGTTATCTTTACTATCCTTTCTTCAGAATATTTTTCTTTTCAATGGCACGAAAATTTCAAAACAAAAAATTCAGAATGAAGTGGAGCAGGAAATGCGACGCAAAACAGTGATTGGTAAAGCTCGGATCGGAGGACCATGGGAATTAGTGGATACAGATGGTAATGTTGGTGGATCTGAAACGCTAAAAGGCAAATGGCTGTTAATTTATTTTGGCTTCACTCATTGCCCAGATGTCTGTCCTGATGAAATAGAAAAAATGGTTAAGGTGCATATGATTTCCTGTCTCAATTGAAAAATGTTTTAATTAGATTTTTCATAAAATAAAGGCTATTTATAAATAATTTTTTGAGTTGAAAATGGCATTTTTGACTTTATACTCATTAATGCATTGATTAATACATTGTAATAGTATAATTTTTAGAGTGAATTCAGTTTAATAAAACATAAATTTTGAATTGACCCATCAGTTCGAAGATTTTTTAGTGTCATTTTTCAACATTTTTTAAAAAGTGCTCAATTAATAAAAAAAACTAACTATTAAACTAATGAATAATGTCAAGAATATTCGTTAAATTTGATTTAATAATATTTTATTAATATAAAAATTCTCATTTTTTAAGATTTAGGCTGTTGACATATTGGATCAGGATAAAGAGCGTAATTTTGAAGTAATTCCTGTATTTATATCCGTAGATCCTACTAGAGATACGATTGAGCGCGTAAAAGAATATTGCCTTGAATTTTCTCCTAAGTTGAGAGGATTTACTGGTGCTAAGGATCAGGTAAATTATGTTTATTACGAAAAAATTTTTATGCGAATGTGTGGCATAATATTTATTTTATTTTTATTTCTTTTATTTTTACTTTTTCATTTGACGGCTACGATTTGAAATTAGTTGTTAGTTTAGCATAGTTTAGCATATTTCAAAATAATTATCGAATTTTAGGTTGATAGAGTCACCAAAACTTTCCGTGTTTATTACAGTCAAGGACCAAGCACACCAACTGCTCCTGATGATTATATTGTAGATCACACAGTTATTAAGTATCTAGTAGATCCGGATGGTAACTTCCAAGATTTTTACGGTAAGCCATTCTATTTCTTTTATTATTTCCATTATTTCTATTTATTTCTTGTAATGTAAGTTTTTACGGCTGAAGGATTTAATTTCCTTCATGAATATTAAGAATATTTTTTTTTTTTTTAGGTCAAACAGCAACGGAACAAGATATTGTTAACGCAGTTAGATTAAAAGCACTGCAATACTCTTTAAAAAAGAAGAATTCATGGTTTAAAAGTTCATCTTAAAATTTTTTTTACAAATCTACATCAAAAAATTTAAATTTCAGACCTTTTGGCTAGAGTTATTTGGTTGTAATAATTCACCTAATTCACCTAAATAATTCACCTAAATAACTTTTTCGGAATTATTTCTATATTCAGTTTTTTATAACTCTCTTTAAGCTTAGAAAATATGTTTTTAAAATAGTGGATTTTTTGTTGGTAAACATAAAGGTTACACTTTCGTTATCGATGGTTTCGTTTATTGTTATTATTATATTGTTTTTGGCCTAATGCGATTTAAATAAACTATGAAAAATTTTTTTGCTTTGATGAATTGTTAATCAATGAATTTGATTTTCTTATTTTCAAAAGATTTTTTACATTCTTATGTAAATACATAAATATACTGTATGGTTTCTCAAGTTTTTGTTTTGAGAAAGTTCTGTTATTGCTATGATGCTAAAATATCACTCGGATTTTTATTCAGAACTTTTTTTCATAATATTGTGCAATTTCCTAAATTGAATTTTCAGAAGAATGTCAAATGTATCAAAGTCATCAGAATATATTGTTCGAGTTCCGAAGTATTTTCAATTTTTTTTGTTTTTTGCTATCGAGTGCAAAATTTTTTTTTGTTTTTTGTTCGAGGGATATTTGAAAGTTTTGTTCTGTTTTTTAGTTTAAAAAAATAAAGTATAAAAAGTATTAAAGTTATAACAATATTATTCCAGGCGTAATCCAGCTAGGCGTTACTCGATATTGAAATTTAATGGGACATTGAAAGTCGATCCGAGTCGTTGGGCTTCATCGGATATATCTATACAAATGATTAGAGAAGATATGAAATCACAATTTTCTGGTGCAGAAATAAAGCAGGTATATCTTCATCACTTCTGCAGTGATTTAGATGCATATGATATTTATACAATTTTTGGACTTTGGACTATGTTGAAAGATATCCATGAGAGAAATTTAGAAGTGGAAGGCTCAAAAACGGAAATAATTAGGGTCGAATTTTTAAAGAATTTAGCTCATTACTAAAAAATCCATTAAATAGATCAAGCCATTTTTTAAGAAATTAGAGAAATACATAAATGATAAAAAAGTGCTCTCCAGATGGATCTTAAAAACATATATTCGTTCCGAAAGTCGAAAAAAATTATTTAGGAATATGGTGAAGGAAGCGAATATGGCAAAGCAGCTAGAGAAGAAGCTAGGCGAAAAAAATATGGCCACCGATCTATTGCCCATATATATGATAACCAGCCTTGGAAATTGACTATTGCTGATTCTAGTAAGTTGATATGAAATAGCATTAATTTATTTTTAATTGTGGTAAGTGTAGTATTCTTCAATGTTTCAGGTGGTAAAGAACGAAAGTTCCGAAGCATTCGTGAGGGTGGAGCAGGTGAGCATGCTGTTTACTGGGTATTTTTGAAATCAGGTGATGAGTTTCATGCCCATAAAGTTGATGATTGGTACCAGTTCTTACCTGCCATAACCCATCGTACTCTTGATATCGATCAAGCTGAAGAACAGTTTCGTCAGTAAGTTTTTGTTATAAATTCTTTAAACAGTTGTTTATTTTTTAAAAAATTAAGTGTTTGTAATAATTAGTGATAGTTGACATAAACGATATTATAAGCACAGAAATTTTAAATATAAAAAAATTTGTTAATCAAAGTAATGCGATAAAAAATTTATTAGGCGAAACCGAGTGTTGAACCAGTTTGCCCTGAAAGCTCAAATTCAACAACAGTTAAAAGCTATGGATGAAGATGATGAGCAAATTGTGAAAAATGCGAAAGCGCTGGTATGCACTGTTTTTTGATCACCAAATTTAATCACCAATGTATATTATATAATACATGAAATATTTTCATTCATTTTTTTATCAGTAAAAGTTAAATGATTATCAGTTGGTCTTTAAAGAAAATCAAAGACGAAAGTAGTTCAAGTGATGAATCAGGAGAATCAGATAAAGATGAAGAAACGCTCGAAAAATCGAATAAAAAAGTTGTTTTTTTCCGACATATTTAATAAACATCTTTTTAAAAGTTTTTCAAGCATTTCATAATTTTTTATAATATTGGTATTGTATTTCCCAGCTTTGATTTTTTATTTCTTTGGTGAGAACAAAATTCATAATTTTTTTATATTTTATTTCAGTGCTTTATTTCAGAAAAAGGCCAGAAGAGATATGAAAAAGAATGATAAAAAGCAACGCGTCGATAATGCTGATGAAATAGCTGCGTATGAAAGTGATGATGGCGACGATGAAGGTCGTGAATTTGATTACATGAGTGACAGCGGGTCTGACAGCGAGTTTGTATTTTTTTATTGCAGTACATTTAGAATGTTTGAAAGATAAATTTTATAGTTATTTACCCCTGCTTCTGTCTTCTATGAATTGCATAAGTGCCATAACCTTATGATTTTATTTACTGGTTTTTTTCAAAATTTTTAGTCGTGATCAAGTGCCTATGGAACAAAAAGTGGATGAAGCTATGGTTGCAGTGGGCGATGAAACTGGTTTACGGAAATTGATTGGAAGTGATGATTTCAGTGATTCAGCAAGTAGTGATGACGATGATCCAAGTAAATTTTTTCCTTACAATTCAGTTTTGCCATGTTTTTATTTTCATTTGTTACTTTCATTTTTTCTTCATTTTATCATTTTATTAAGATTTATTTAATCATATTCTAGCGAAGAAATTATTAGAAGCTGCAGAAGATGACGTGAAAAAACGTTTTCAAGATATCGAAGAAAGAGGTGGTTTATCTATTTGTTTTCAGATTTTTTTTTTTCTTTATTTCTCTTCTCTTTCATTTTTCTTATTTCCAGATTCCTCCGGAAGCGATTCTGATGATCCAGATAGAGAAGTCAGTTCGGCATTATTTCTTCCCGGAGTATGTTTGCAATATATTGTTATATTATTACATTAAATTGATAAATTTAATTTATTTTTTGAACATTTTTGCAGAAACCAGTGGAAGAAGTAACATCATCATCTAGTGCAAAGAAACGTTCACTGGAGGATGATCCAATAGAAATTGTTGAGGCAAAAAAACTTAAACCTAATGAACAGTAAGTTAACTGTCATTGAATACACGTTCACTTACGCTTAATTTTCATTCGAAAAAGCTTTTTTTCTGTTTGTTGGTGTTCAATTTAATACTTATTTTAGATCATACGTTCTGAGTCAACCTCAGTTTGAAGGTTTGAATGATGAAACTGTGCGACGATATTTGCGAAGGTTTCTTTTTCATTTGAAGTAATATTTATACTTAAAAATCTCTTTTACTGTATTTTTTCATTCGTCTTTAGCGCAAAAAGTTAATAGATGGTATTGTGTTATGTTCATTTTATATTCATTGTAGGAAACCGCATACAACGAAAGAACTTTTATCAAAATTCAAATCTAAATGTGGGGATATGGAGAAATCAGAAATTGTACAAAAATTAGCAACGATCCTCAAGAGAATTGAACCTCATCAATTTAAACAAAAGCAAGGCAAGAAAGAAGTATTATTTTTTTCGCTAAGCAATACTGTTGCATAATATATTTTTTTTCTACGTCTAAATATTTTTTGCAGGTGGAATGTTTGTATTCTAAATTATTTCTTTAGGCTGAATTCTAAATTACTTAATGTAATAAAAATATAATAAAAATAATAAAAATTTCTCAAATCTTTCGTAATTCTTCACCTTCATTTCATCAGGTTTCTTGAATTGAGGCGAGATAAGAATTTGAAAAATCTAAAAAGAAGAACGGCTTCCATTAGTCTGTGTGTAAAGGAGAAATTGTAGCCTTAATATTAAATGTTGTAGGAAACATGCGTATATGCGATTTTTAATAAATTATAAGACTTTGATATCGGAAATATATTAATATGTATCATCTCGCATACATGTTTGTTTTAAAATTTAAAGTAATTTCCTTTTAATATGAAATTTTTTAATATAAATATTCAAATTGTTATATATAATTTTTTGTATAGCCAAATTTTCACTGTAATTATCGATAGGCAATCCTTTATAATTGTTTAAAGCAGATATAAAGTAATAGTGTGGGCGAAATTAGGATAGAAAATATTAATAGAAAAAAAAATAAAAATGTCGGCGGAAAGAATTACCAGCGTATGAAGGATGTGGAAAGCTGGTTTGTATATTTCTTGAGCACCGACAGGTGTATTACGTTGCGTATTGTCAGGAAAATAATTCAGATTCGGATATGCGTCAATTCTTATTTCGATATATTAGAAAATATTAGTTCCTCACACTTTTCTGATAAAATGCCTTAACAATTTTTGATAGTCTTTTTTGGAAAATTTTTCATTAATTTTACAAATCAATTAACTTAATGGCTATAAAACTCGAATAAATTGTTTAATGTTGTTTAAATTGTTAAAATATTTAAATTGTTTGATATCATTCAATAGATTTCTAAGACTAAAAATTTATGGTTTATGCACCAATATATTTAGTAAGTTCTTTGCGATTATTACGATAACCAATATTTTTAATGCTTTTTATCATTTATCACTTGTCATAGTTCAGTAATTGGGAAATGCTGCCAAAACCGTACGAGTTACAGTGGGTTAATAGATAATAGGTATCACTGGGACACCAAATTTAGAAAATGATAGTTGAATGGTGTTGTTCAGGTTATCATCTCAAGCGTTAAGATGACCCTCTGACAGAAATAAACTTGAAATGAAAACTCTGGATCATGCTCGAGATCCATTTTACCTCTGTCGCTAGATCGTTCTGGCAAAATTTATTATTATTAAAGTTGTAATGCAAAAATTTTTCAAAAAATTTCAAATGTTTTAAATATTATAATAAATATTTATTGCAAAATATTAAACAAATTTGAAATGAATTAATGATACTGAAAAAAAAAGACTACAATTGTGGTACAATTTTGTTTTCTCAAATCGTTCATTGCAGAAAATGGTTATGGAATCCGCAAAATCCTTTCTGCAATTTTTCTATGTTATAAATTTGGAAAATTTTTTAATTTCAATAATGGTAATTAAAAAATCAAATATTTCAAAGACATTTAGTTTCTATCGAATTTAAAAAAATGATTGGCGTTCACCATTTCTCCATTTCTGGTTGATACAGTTACACCGAAATACAAGTAAAAGTGAGTGCCGTTAGGATTACTTATTGATAGGTCCACTACTGTCAGGGCAAACAGCGGAACCTACGATGCTTGTTCGAAGCATTCCACTCGATTTCACTTCCACTCATCAAACCCATTAAAAAAGTTAAAGTTAAATTTTCAAGACCAACCATTATCAACATCTTCCGTCGAATCGCTCTTAACTTGAATTTTGCCTATACGACTCTCCTCATTTTCGTCGCTTTTGACTCGACTTTCGCTCTTGACAGATGTTTCACCTGTAGGTTTGTCTTCTTTTATTGTTTATTTATGCAAATTTTCATATCGTCGGAAAGCACAATGAAATGTGAATGAAATGCGGTTGTTTATTTTTCCTCTATTTTTATAGGTTCTTGGTGGAAGCATAATTCGGGTAAATGATGAATTATTAATCTGGTAATGTACGATGCTATTCCACAGCACTCTGAATTGCTACTCTTGCTTAACGAATATAAATTAATATGAACCGATTGAGAAACATTCAAAAAACCTTGGTTTTCATCCGTATCACTCTTGATTTGAATTTCACTTGTATCGTCTTTAACTGCAGTTTCACTTTTGACCTCAGTTTCTCCTAAATCATCCTTGATTTGAGTCTCTGCTTCGGCTTCGGCATTAGTTGAGCATAACTGAAGGAAGAAGAGTGCTAAAATGAAGGCCAACATTTCCAATCGTATAAAGGATATGAGTGCGCTGAAATAAGCCTTAATTTATTTAATCTACAATATTAAAATGATAAAAATTTTTTTCATTTGTTCGAGACTGCAAATAATCCAAAAAATTGATAGAAAAAATATTTAAGGAAAGGAAATATGAAAGCGATGGTTGTTGGTTAGAAAATCTCATGGAAATCAAAGCTATTACAAATTTTCGCTTCTTTTTATACTTGTTTTCCTGGCTGATTTGCCTTTCTTTTCCTAAAATTATTCTTTATTTGCTCAAAATTTATAATTTTTCTGTCTTTGTTTGATCATTTTATAAATCATGAATGAGAATTTTTCTGATCGTTTCCAATATATCCACCGAATTTTTATCAGTGCTTCCGCAAATACGCATATATCAATCACCAAATCAGTTTCATAAAGGTAATATACAAAACCATGAATTCATTTATTTCTTCAAATAATTTCCAAGTTTTTTGCCATTATAAAATTTTATTCTTTTAGTGAACGTTATTCAATTAGCAAAATTTGCTTTCATTTGATACAAATTGAAAGACGTACGGAAGTAAAGTTTAAAATTAAAGAAATCCGTAGAAATCCACACAGCTGAAATATTGGTTTACATTTGAATTGAATCGGGCTCCCAAATTTCGCTAGAAACTTTGCTATGCAGTATAAAGTTTCTGATTGTTTGACTCATTTGTTCTTTTGAGAAATCTAAATTATTGAATAAAATTAAAAAACGAAAAATTGAGCTTATTATATCTGAAAAACTTGGAAAATATGGAACACGTATGAATTCTAAAATTTGTGAAATATTCCCTCAAGGGAAGTATCACGGCGTGCTTTAACCAAATATGGAGAATTATCGAATATTATAGCGAAACTGAGAATCAAAATAAATAACATGAAACTCTTCATTTCATATTATGCATTAAATACCTTTACTGATAGTCAGCTAAATTGCCAATGGCGCTTTTGAAATATCCGTGTTATGCGGTCAGTTGATTTAAGAGATCCATAAAATTGTTACAGGAATATTTTTTTAAATCGTTATATGAATCACTATTAACGACTCAAAGCTAAAACATCTTAAATTCATCAATTATTCGAAGAATTATCATTTCTTTCTTTCTTTCTTTTTTTTTCAAAAAGAAAACTTTCTTTTTTTATGGTAATTTCATTTGGATTATTATGCAACATCTTTAAATTTTTGCCGAATTTAATTGTTGCCGTGAATATCATCTGATAATTAAACCGCGCCACTGATAAGATTATTCAGTAGATGAATTGTTAATTAAAAATATGATTTCAATGCAATTGGTTTTGAATTTTACAGCTTTTGTCCCTTTTATATTTTCCAGCAAATCAGCGCGATTTCTATGAATAAATAGTGACTCATGGAAGATATCTTATTATTCCTAATAATTTGATAGATTTTTAATAGAAAATAATTCGTGCGTCTTTTCCTGTCATCCTAGTATATAACTGAAATTCATAATTATCATAATTATGCCTCCAAATTTTTTATCGAATGAAACAGCTGCGCTATTTTAAAAGAATATTTACAAAATTGTTCAGACAAATCTGAACTATCAGCTGAACTAACACATCGGCGCATTTCGTACAACAAAATTACGATGCTTAACAAACAACTAATCGTATAATGGAAACTATCGCCAAACTAAATAATATTAATAATAATTAGTAAATAATTAAATAGATATCTTTTTAAAATTCTACTAAATTTTTTGTTAAAATTAATTTACCTGCTTAAATTGACTTTCATCGCACACGAAGCCGGCAATAAAAATTATTTATTATTTGAAATTATACGGCAAAAGCACGGTTGCAACAAGTCAAACTAAATTTTTTTGCATACAGTAAATTAATTTAAGCAGTTAAAATCGAATAAAATCATAGTAGAAATAAGTTTAATGATAGAATTAAATGATGTGTGAAACTTATTTGGATTAAAATCTTAAAAGAAGCTCAGGCAACGTTAAAAGTGCAAAAATTGTCGAATTTAAGATTTAAAAAAAGTGTGCAATTTTTTTTCCCAAGAACTTCCGAGAAAAGAAGAGTTCGCATCCACCTGGTTGCAGTGTTTCATACTGCATCTACCTTCACATACTTGTGTTGCATAACCCTTATCTTCTTCTGCTCGAACAGCTCTCACCATATGACCATATCATTCCAGGTCTTGATTGGTCCATCTCCCTTTTGACGCCATCACTCGTCACACGGTTCAGCAAATAACGAAATATGCGTCAACTCCTATGGTAGGCGACGGAGAGCATGCCCTAACCAGCGAAGACGACGCTCTATGATAAGATTATTAATGCAAGTGGTATTTAAACGAAGGTGGATGCAATCGTGTGATATTTTATCCGCTCGATGGGCCTGTAAAATGTACCTTAGACAAGAGTGGTCAAAGGCAAATAACTCCTTAATATCCTCCACTCTCACTGGCCATGTCTAAGTGCGATATAGCACGATCGGACGAATCATAACCATATTGATACGAACTTTCTTTTTTTATGGTAATTTCACGACTGCTCCATAAAGATTGCTCCAACCGGAAGAAGGCATTTCTAGCTGCCGTGATCTTTTTGCCTGGCCATTTGGTATTAGAGTGGACCTAAGGTATTTAAAATCGGGCACTTCTTCAATCGGCAATGATTTTATAAAAACAGGTATTTTATCAGTGTTTAATAATGTGCGACCTAATAAATGTAAAATTTAGGTGAATTTCACGAAACCATTTGAAATATCCATTATCCATTTCACGAAACCATTTGAAACATTCGAAACAGACAATAGCAATTTCAGATGAAAAAAATTAATTCCAAAAACAAACGATGCACATCGAACTGAAATTTTAAATTGCAAAAATCCATAAAAATCGGTCAGATAATTTTAAATTGGAAATTTCTCAAAAAAAATTAATTTTTGACAAAAAATTAAATTTTAACAAAAAAATTCGCAAAAGTAACAATTTGAAATTTGATAAAGTGATTTCCATTTCGATCTTTGATTAGAATTCAATGACTTTTTTTTCATAATTTCATCAATGAATTGCAGTTTAGCGTTTGAGATTTTTAGTTTTTCCAGTAATTTCATGTTGTTTTATTCTCTTATGAAGCCTTTGCTATTTTCAAAAACCCGATTCCAGAAATTCCCCCTCCCCTCTCTCTCCCTTCCCTACCCCCTCACCAGCTTCCTTCATTTATTTCACATTTTCTAATTTATATATTTTTATTAATTCTCCTAAAACTTTAATTCATTGGCCTTCGTTGCTTTTTAATTTTGTTCTAATACTTCTATACAATTTTTTCGATTTCTTTACATTTCAGGATCTTATTTCTTTTTTAATTTTCATTCATTAATATTCATTAATTTTGCCTATTTTCGTCGTTTGAACGGCTTTTATCGTTCAAAAAAATTTACAAACTCGTTTTCAATAAATATTTTTCAATATTCCATTTGCTAAAGTTTTTTTACTTTTTTTACGTTTTTTGAAATTTATAGGAAATTTATTAAATTTATTAATTCAAATTCCAATAGTTTATTTGCCAATTCGTCCTTTTTTTTCGAATTTTAGAATTTCCGCTTTTTATATAAATGATTGCCTTTATTTTTTATTTTATCTATTATTATTTTACTGTTATGCTTTTTCCTTAATTCATCTATTTTTTAATTTTGATATTTAAGAAATTATATTTTAATTTTTATTTCTAAAGCATATTTTTTCAAATAAATTGCAAAAATAAGTGATATGTAATGTAAAACTGCAAGAAAAATAATAAAGTTTGCTTTTTCGATTTACCAAAAAATAATCGCAAAATGAATTTGGGGATGGAATGGCTCAGTGGGTTTCTTAGTTCTGAGCGCCGAAGCTGAGGTTCTATTCGTCGCAGGCGTAAATCTGCCCAAAAATTCGGGTGATGGTGGCCACTCACCTGTACTTCTATCGCCAAGGGGCTGGTATATCTGTCCAATGTTAAAAGTCAGAGAAACAAGTTTAACCAATAATGGTGAAACTCCAAAAAGATATCTATGAAATTTGCTTTCGAACCAAAACTATCTGAAAAATTTGTTTAAAAAAAACGAAATTTTTAATTTGCCATTTTTCAGTTTGCATTTATTGTTTCGAATTCATTTTTTGCGTAATTCACTTGCGTAACCTTAAAAAAAACTAATTAAATATTTATTATAATATTTTATGGAAATAATAAAAGAAAATTTTTTTCAATTGTTTTAAAGGAATTCAAAATGACTTTCAAATTTGATATTCATAAATAAAAACTTTCCTGCGGACTAAAGCCACTATTTATTGGAACGAAAATAAACGAAATACAAAACAAATAACAGCAATAAATATAATGCAATTGATATAAGATCCGAGCTGATATTTAGTTGGACGAATTACTAATATGCAGAGCCAGTTTTTAGGTTGCATTTTTGAAAGGATTATTGATCAGGTAGGTAGGGAGAAGGTCGGCCTATTGGTGGTTCTAGAAGTTCCGTTGCCTTTTCTATTTCCCTGGACTTGATTTTTCTAAATTTAATATCGAAGGGATAAGTGGTAATTTAGAAAAGAATCGAATTTTAGCGATTCATTAAAATTTTTTTCTTGTTAAAAATCGAAAAAAATGAAAATAAAGCAAAGCATTCGAAATTATTTTTGTTAATTGTTAATTTATTGCTGATTAATTTTATTCAAAAATTAATTTGCTTTAACAGTTTTTAACAATTTCAATAATTTAGTGAATTTCCCATTTATTGAATGAATTCGAAATGAATTAATAAATATAATTCGGTTTGCGGAAGTTTTCAAATTTTTTTATTTGTTTAACGAAGATTTTTTCTTAAATTGCAATTATAGATTATTGCAGGCAAAAATGCGACCATTTTTCATTCGAAGCGGTGTTCCTGCGAAGCTGAAACTGCGTCAGAAATCTAAGGTTAGGTTAGTTTAGTTATGTTTAAGCGCAGGTTATCTTTTTAACGAGTTTAGTTGTATAGTTCACATTTGCTCGTAAAAGCAAATTCTTTTCCTATACGCCGTCAACTGCCCTCACTGGCTTTTTTGTGCCTTGGAACTATTTCGTGTTCTGTTGAATATACTCCTTAAAGCTTATGGAGTGTTATCTTCAAATGCATTACATAAGAGGTTTAGTTATAAATTTGGATAGTGAATGAATATAATGAGGAAATATCTGAGAGTGCTTTTACTGCTAGTGAGCCAATGTTTTTTGCGTTTCTGCATAGTTGCATTCGTTGAAAACGATATTCACTGAAGGAAATTATTGAATTTTCGTCGGATATTCGTCGGATATAAAAATCCTTAGGGCCTACTCTGAATTGTCTGTGAATCCCATTTGTAGAATTCAAAGCCATTTATAGACCACTTATAGACCATTTGCTAAAAATATAAAATTTATAGATGCATTCTTTATTTGCTAAAAATTTTTATACGAATTTCCATAATTAAATTTTATTGGTTTTTTCTTTCATTTGGGTATTTTAATGTGTTAATTGCAATTGAAATTTACGGTATAAAATTATAGTTGAAAAAAGGCGATGTAAAGGGAAATTTTTTGAAAAAGCGAAAAGAAATATCAAAGAATGAAATTATTTCATCATCAGATGATGATAACTTATCAGTGGATGATGCTATCGAAGAAAAAAGTGATAGCGATTTCGAGGATACTCAAGAACTGGCATATCATAAAGCAAAACAATTCATTGCTGAACTCGAGGTATATTTCAGTGCTTTTTTTCATTTTAGGCTGTGGATTTTTGCTTTCAAACCTATTATATCAGGTATGTAATGATTAAATCTAAAATTCTGGAAAGATTGTAGGCGGAGCTGGGTTCGGAGCGGAATGAAGAAGATGAAGATGTATTGGCTGCAAGGTTAAAAAAAGATGCTTTATTAAATATTGCTACGTCGCAGAGATATATTGCAGAAAAGGTTCAGCTCAGTGAATCTTCAGTTCATTATCGTCCCCACAGGTATGTGTTTACTTATTTCAGATGAATTTCATATAAAAATTTTTTTAAATTTTGAACTTTAAATTACTGCACCTAACTTTTATTTATCTGATATCGCGAAATCGCTTGATTTGATAAAAATCTAGTAAACTATTAGCCTCACAAAAAACTGGCCTGCTAAAATGCTGGAATTATTTTAGGTTTTGTGTGATTTCACGGTTCCAGTGCCATCCTACATTTTCTTTTTTATAGTGATATTTTATGCCCTTCAATTTTGAATCATTTTGATTTTCACATTTACTGGATGTTTTTTCTTGAAGTTCCAGATTTTCTGTCATTGCGGTTGCTTTATCGCATGATGAACGGTTTGTTATTAGTTGTTCAAAGGATGCCACTGTTGTTAAATGTTAGTTTCGTTATTAATTTCACTACTTATAACTTATAATCATGCATAAGGTTGGGTAGAGATATCATTTTTTTTTCATGGAAAATCTGTTGAATTTTCCAGCGTCATTGGTCATTTTTATTTGATAAATCCTTAAATCAGTTGGACTAAACCCTATGACTATTTAAAGTTTTTAAAGTGGATTCCATTCAAATAAATTAAGGTACAATATGAGCTCATTAGTTAAATATAAACAATTAATTATAAAAACAACAGTAAAGATTTTTTTAAATTTAGATGATCTGGAAGAAGGGCGGAAAATTGATGTCTTAAAATACGACAAAAAAAATCGAAATACTCATAATGGCCAAATATTTGCTTTGGCAATATCTGCTGGCGATCGTTATTTGGCTACTGGTGGAGCTGATATGATAATACGCGTGTGGAACTTTCTAAATTTCCAGCATGTAAAGAACTTACTGGGACATAAAAATTTCATAACAGGTAACTTTTTTTCAAATTGTTTCGGGATGCAGTTTCCTCAAAAAATTCTACAAAGTAAATTTAGGGCTTGTTTTTCGAAAGGGCACTCAACAACTATTCAGTTGTTCGAAGGACAAAAGTGTGAAAGCTTGGGATTTAGATCAAATGGGATATGTGGATACGATGTTTGGTCATGTCGATGTTATTTCGGATATTGATGCCTTGTCAAGGTAATATAAAATTAATTTTTTCATTCTGAAGATAAATTTTTGGTTTTTTGCTAGTATTTTTTTGCCTTTGTCACTAATACTTAGAATACTTGATTTTTATTTGATCAGATATTTTCAAAAAAAAAATTTAAATATGTGGTCGTTGAATACAAATTTTTTTTTTTTTTTCAGTGACTTAAGTTGTTTCAAGTACTCATTTTCTTATTGATTTTTTACTTTTTTAGATTTTTTCACTATCTTCAATTTCAAAGTATATCGCATCTAATTTTGTTCTTTATTCACTTTCAGAGAGAGGATAATAACTTGTGGTAGTCAGGATCGTTCAGTGCGTTTATGGAAAATAGCCGAAGAAACACATTTGGTTTTTAATGGTATCACCTCATGTATAAGCATCGATTGTGTTGCTTTTCTTAATGATGAGCATTTTGTCTCTGGATCGGCTGATGGGTAATTATCTCCGTTTTAAAAATGAAATATTGGTAAATTTACTAATTTTAATTTAAGCTATTTATTTAATTTTATTTAACCAATTTGTTATTGCAGAAGTTTGTGCATATGGTCAACGTCCAAGAAAAAGCCTGTCTGCGTTCAGAAACATGCCCATGGTTTCAGTTCCATTACTGAGCCTAATTGGATTGTCTCTGTTGCAGCCACTAGTTATACAGATCTTGTTGCATCAGGCTCATGCGACAATTTTGTGCGATTTTGGAAAATCTCGATTGACTACAGATCGATTAGCAATTTGTTTTCCTTTTATTTGGTGAGATTTTTTGATAGATCCTTTGATCTTTATATTTTATGCTGAGGTGGATTTTTTATGATATAATGATATAAGGTGTCACTCCAGTCAAGAATCGAATTTTTTTATCGTGAAGCTTAGTCTAAGTAACATTCGGCTATCACTTTAGCATGTCCTTACTTATTTAGATATTTGGAAGTAATGATCAGTATTAGTGCAATAGGCGTGTTTATTATAATAGCACTTATTAATGAATAAATTTGAATAATCAGTTTGAAATATCTTTTCTCATCATTTTTCCTCCAGATTATTATTGCATTAATGGATTATTATTTAGGTTGGATTCGTAAATTGCCTGCGGTTCTCGCAAAATGGAGATGAACTTGTTTGTGCAGTTGGACAAGAGCATAAGTCTGGCAGGTGGTGGAAAATCTCTGAAGCTAAGAACAGCATTGTTTTAATATCTTTGAAGCATTTAGATAATTAATTACTAATTATAAAAATTACAAATTAATTCACTTAAAACCTTAATTTGTAGTGGTTCTGTTATTTTTATCAAAATTTCATAGGTCGATTTGCCAAATTAATATCTTAACGATAATGATCTTTATATCATTACGTATCTTTGTTTTTCTAAACTCACCATTTTCTTCGTTTAACCTAATATTTTAAAAAGCATCGGGTAATTCACATATTGTTCCTATATTGTTTTCTAAATTCCGCGATTGAGATGATTCGAGAATATTGTTAAATTTTTGTACATTATTTCTTTTTTTGCATCTCATCATTCGCTTTCTTCGCAGCAATTGTTTTGTGCTTTTTAAATAATTTTCTCAAGTGTCTAAATAGCTTTCATTATTTTTTATCCAGTGATGATTGTACTGTTTTTTATTTTATCATTAAAAAACTCTTCAAATTATTATTCGATTTTTTAGGATCGGTACTTCAGAAATTTTAATACTTTAAATTTTACGGGTTTGTATTTTTGTTTGTTAATCTTTTTTCATAAAGTTTAGTGATTCTATTGCAGTTCTTTACGGATTAAAGCTACAGAATTTTTTAGATTCTCATAATTTTGTAATTTTTGCGAGAAGTCTATTAATCAGAAACAGTAAAGTACCAACTTGCTTTACTTTATTATTGCTTATGTCAGTTGTTGGTTGTTGATATTTCGTTTTATTGATTATTGTCTTTTTATGATTGCTCAGCTTATGGGCGATAAAATTGTGTGTTGAAGATGCGATCGACATAAGTCGACTGTGATTTTCTTCCAGATATTTCTTGGTGAAAAATTTTCGACATTAGTCGATTTTTTCATTTTTTAGAATTGTTGAGTTTCATTCATTGAATTATGGCGGATGGAAGAAAGGATTCCATTTCTGTTGCATTTTTGTATTTCATTAATCTTATCTGTCTGCTAATTGTTTTAATAATTTTGTTAATTTTATAAAATTATATTTGACTAATTTTCGTTTTTTGTGTCAATTTTAGTGCATCTCACTTATATTTTTTCTTTTTTTCGGTTACAGGTTTCTTTTAATTCATTGGATATTTATTAGGATTATCTCATATCGGACGGTATTGTAAGAATAGTTCGCTGTAAGAAGGATAACAGCAGGAAAATCAAATTTTTTTGTTACAAGGTATGAATGAACCCTAGCAGCTTCTGGTTACGGTATTTTATTGTACGAATTCTAGTCCATTTGAGAAAGGAGATAGGTATTATTGCATATTTTTGTCAAATTACTGGTTTATTTTAAATTTCCTTTTGCAATTGCTAATATATCAATTGAGCTGGTGCTACTTGTTTATTTATCGCTTTGTCTCTCGAAGAGATGATGCACGAAGTGATGCAACTGAATTCATATCTGGAGTCATAGTAAGGAACAGCATTTAAGTTCAGCACCGTGATTTTCGAATACTGTTGATATGTTTACATTTCTTTATTTCGAAATTATTTTTCAGGTTAACGTATTGCTTGGAACGACGATCGTGCGACGACTATATTAAAAATTTCATGTACTTTCCGTGTTCATCACTTCAAAATTTGTTATTTTAAATTTGTGCTATGGAACCAAACAATCTTATCGTTACAGGTTTCGTCTTTTTTTAATTTTCTCTTTGAATTTTTGTGATTCCTTTTATTTTAGTGAAATTTGTGGCCGTATTGCATAATGCCTTGGCTAAGGTCACACATTTTATTGAACCTGCCGTTGAAAGTGAAATTCAAGCTGTACTAGTAGTTTTAGAAACAGTCTAATGAAAAGATCTCTCTCTAATAGTTAAATTAGAAATAATGCGTATTTCTAAGAAGTTAATCATCGCATATTGCTAAAAATTGTAGACAAATGAATTTTACGGATCGGATAAGTAAATAATCGGAATAGTGAAAGAATCGGTAGTAAAAAGAAATTTCTATGGTTTTTGAGAGATTTGATTTAAGCGATACAATTTGAATATTTGACTTTTTTTAAGAATTTTAATTGAAAAACAAAAGCTACCAAGTTAAGATTTCCTATAATATGGAAAATTTTCGCAGTAAATATGCTAAAATTTTTCAAAACAAGAAGCAAATTAGATTTATTTATTTGGAAAAACTGAAAATTAAAGCTTCATGATTTATTGAGTAATATTGATTTATTCCTTTTTAAAAACAACAAAAAAAATTATCTTCATTTAATTTGTTTAAAAAATGCCATTATTTGGCAAAAAATTTATCGAAAATTATAATTTGTATAAATAATGCCTTAGCATTTGGAGGAAAATTCAGCAGAATAGTGAGATTTATCTATAAAATTATAGTGATTTCTGCTCGTGGATTATCACTTAAAGGTCACACTAAGTTGGATGTCTTCGTAAATCTTACTTTAAATTCTACTGGATCTTGGAAAAGTAAAGTACAGACAGAGATAAAGAAGTCTACTGGGGATTGCACTTGGGATCAAGCTTGCGAGTTGTTGGTTTTTTCATATGAATGTATCAGAATTTTCTTTTCATATATAATAACATTTTTTGTGAATTACCTATCCATTGCGATTAGCAATCTTTTTAAACAATAACATATTTGAATTTGGAAGAACCGAATTTCAAAAAAGCTAAACGCGACCTGGAAAAGCAATACTTAATTATTCAGATTTTTTGAAATTCTTTTTTTTTGGTTTTAGAATCTTGGGAATTTAGAGGCTTCAGTGAGAGATATATTGTCAGCTCGTAATGTCGAAATAATTCACAGTTTGAAAAACCACTGTGAGAAACTATATGGTGAATTTATTTAAGTATGATCGATATTTAAAATTGATACCTTAATAAATACCTGCTAAATATCGTTAAAAAATTAATCATAATAATAAATTTTTTCATGTAAAATAAATTGGTCTGTGAATAAATTGGTCTGCGATTTATTGGAATTCCGAAAACTATTTAAAAAATTTTTATTTATATTTTTAATTTATTTTAATTTTATTTATATTTTCATTACAATTCAGTTTTGTGAACGATATGGATTCTGTATTAACTATTTTGGTGAACCACAAAACAGTTATTGGTGCTGAATGTATAGGTGGTATTGAATTAAAACTACGCGAGTGCCGTTGTAAGACAATGCCTATCTGGTTTAAATTGCGTAAAAAGGGGAAATTTGACGAAGTATCGGAGAAATATCGTGGTGAATTGCTATTGAAATTTTATTTTTGCAATAAGCAACTTTCGTCTTCAGCGTTATCTATCAATTCAAATAGCAGTTAGTCATTTCTTTTTTTTTCAAAGATTTGAAACATCACTGACTATTATTATTCATTTATATATATTTTTTTACATTTTTTAAATTACTGATGTTTAAAAGATAGATATTATGTAGATATTTAAAGCAAAATGTATCTTGTATCTTTCGTAATATTAAGTTCATATTAATATTAATATTAATATTAAACCTTAGGTAACTTACAAAGCTTTGCATTACTTCTTGAACTCCTTAGCGCTACTTTTCATTAAAATCTTTACATCTCTCTTTCTTATTATCCTTCAAACATTATTAAGCTTTCTTTTTTTTTGCAATTTTGAAAAAGCTGATTAAGGCACAAGCAAACTAGAGGTGTTGAAGAGTAAGATACCGTTTGGAAAGAAGCAACAGGATCCGGATGTTAAATCGTTGATTAGTTTTTCGCAATGTTCTCGGCCATCTTCATTCATTTCTGATACTCTCAGTATACCAGAAACAGAAAATTCATCTCATAAAAAGCATTTTTTAAATAACTTAATAGTGGCGCCATTGAATAATTCTGTAGTAGCATTGGAAAATGCAAATGGGAAAAGTAGGTTTTTATCCGAATTAGAATAAATTTTAACTTTTTTTTCTCTGATATTGCATTGTTTTTTATAGTTATGACTCATTGCTATGGGAAAAATTTTCCAGAAACCTACGGAACTCTATCTGCAGAAGATAATTTATCACTTAAAACTCATTCGAGAGAACATTCACCTACTTCATTGCAACATTCTATCAATTCATCACCTGCTGATGATGATCAATCATCGGTACCAGCAACACGTCCAAGAAGTGTTGCATCTTCTGGTTTTAGTTCTGCTCGATCCACTATCAGCAAAATTATCCATCACAATTCGGTAATAATTTGTATTGTTATATCTGTTATAATCGATGAAAGAAATCTCATTCTGTACTTTTATTACTTATCCATTCCTATTACTTGAAGAGAAATAAATCTTCATATTTAGTCGATAAATTCAAATGTCGATGGCTCAGTGGCAAGACAATTACCACCGAGATCCAAGGCTTGAGTTTGAACTTTGAATTTTTGGGTTCTTGGTGCAGCAATGTCTCCTTGCGGAGAAAAACAAAGGACCATAGAATGGCTCGTTGTTGCTGAATTCGAAGTGCCAGTGCTCAAGTTCTATTCCCGGTAGAATAAACATGTCCAAAAATCCGGGTGGTATTGGTATTGGCGAGTCATTTGTATTTCTATCGCAAGGGACTGGCAAATTTGTCTATTGTGACAAGCCCGAGTGAGTCTAATAAGTAATGGTGAACCCTTAAAAAAAAGAACAAATTCAAACGAGGATTGGGAAATTTTCTTGTTTGGTAAGCTTTATTGACTATGGTAAAAACTTTTTCATCAATCTGAAAGGTACACGGTAGGTAATAAAAATTATAAATGTATACGTGAAATAAATTTTCGTTCTTATTTTCTAATTTGAATTTTCCAATTTTTATTATTTTTATTAAGTTTATTGGAAGTAATTTGTCGAAAGCAGAACTCATCGAGATAAACGTGGAACTTCGTCGAGAAATTGGTCAGAAAAATGAAGAAATAAACGACTTGAGAGATTATATCGATCGACTTTTGGCTCGAATTATGGAGAAAAATCCCGAAATGCTTGAAGCGCTTTCATGCTGAAGTGATGAAATTTCGAAATTCTTATGGAAATTGTAAAAAATTGCCTTGCAAGTGTGCATTTTATGACTATGTGATTTTTTTCCAGTTTTATACAATTTTATATTTAAAATATATATATATAATATATGCATATATATGTATGTATATATATATATATATATATATATTATATAAAATTTTATAGCTAAACTGTTAAGCTTTAGCTGAAGTTTCAGTGGCAGTGATAATAATACATATTCCTCACATAATAAGTAAATGTAATGGTTATTTAATTAACTGTTTTCAGCAATGTAGATTTTCATATAGGCTAACCTTTTTTGATAAATAAGTAAGCCATAGTTTACCCATAACCTCAGATGAAAAAAATCAAATCATATATTATAATGTTCTATGCTTAAGGGTTTGTGAGAGGATTTTGGTTTTGTACTTGTTATTTATCGTTGGATCGTGTTCGCGTTAAGTTTTTTCTTTATGCACCTTAAAAATCTTTCACGATTGAATAACTTTCCGCATTTAAGTGCATATTTTAATATGCGATAGTTATATACTCGACAATTCTTTTATAGTTCTGATTTTTTCAGATTCTTCATATTTAACCTTGAAATCTTAGGTTTGAATGGGGGCAATACTTTTCGTATAAATTCCTTAATAATTTGCAATAATTTCGAAATTTATTGATTCATTAGCATAAAAGAAATATCTTGTGAAACTTTCTAGATAAATTGGTGTAAGTGCACGGCAATTATTTTTGTAGTACGGCTTTCAGTCCGTAATATTATTTTTAATCTTTTACAATCTTTTTACCTTTAGAATGATATCCTTAAATCATTGACACTGAATTCAAATATTGACTGGTTTGAATAAATTTTCATATTCTAAAGAAATTGTCGAGAACATTCATAATTTACTGAATAAAGTTTTCTGAAAAACTTTCTGTCATACTTAATGGTGTAATTTTCAGTAATTTTTACATGATTTTAGACTCTCATTTGTTGATAAAAATCTCATTTGGGTGAATCCATTCATATTTCAAAGGCTGTCAGTGTTACATTGCGAATTCCCTTTCCCGCTTAAATCCACTTTCAAATGGGCTAAAAATTTTGACGGGAAGAAATTTCATATTCCAAAAACTTGAGAATACTTTGATTTGCTGCTAAATGTTACCATTTCCCAAGACTGGGCAATATATTAAAAGACATTTTAAGAAGAAAATGATTTTATCGATGATTTTATTACAGATTACAGATAAATTTTTAAAAAATGGAAAATGGTAATGTGGGAAGAAAATTGGTCTCATTCGGTAGTAGTTTCGGCGAAATCGTCGTGGTATTATCAAATCTAACAGAATTTGATCGAAGAAGTCGGTTGTTGAATTATTTTTGCCTGGTGCTTCATTATATTATATGGATAGTACTATTTAATAAGATTATACCATTTATCTTTTAAAAATAATATTTATCAGCTGTAATAGCTGATTGTTTTCAATTCTTAAAGAGATTTTGATTATTTTTTCTATTATTTGATTTATTAATTTAATTATTAAGCTATGAAAACAAGGGGAACATTATCAAGGGCTGTTTCATTAAAAAATAACTATCAAATGTCGTTCGAAAATCGCGCAATGCAAAGTTTGATATACGAATCCCATTGTTAGTTTCTTATTTTATTTTTTTGAAGTTAGGTGTTGGAAATGATAATTAAAGAAATTCATTTTAGATTTGTGATTGTTGATGTATAGGGGAAAAGCTTAGCCTCAAATGCTGTGGTATTTTGTTTAAAAATCTATCATTTTCCTTCAGAACTACTCCATATCCTCTTATGTTGTGATCAGTCAGCAAGAATTCTTTTAAACGTGCTCAGATCGAAATCTGGTCCTTTAATACCACTCTTCGTTTTGTTCTTTTAATTTCTACTCTCACTCCACGTTTTTTTTTGATGCGATTACAATTATATACCGTAAATTGTAAAGGCTTGGTGGTGGTGATCTCATGAATATTAGGGAAAAATACTGGGAATTTAGTTGTTGCAAAAGTAGTATTGCAAACTCGAATGTTTGCTAGGTATTGCTGTCTGATATTGAACTGGATGAGTTTATATCATTATTAAGGAAAATTCGAAAATTTACAAAGTAGATTTAGAAAAATGTAAAGGATTTTTTAGTAGAATTTCATTATCTTCTCTAATATTATTATTTTTTAACGACTTGACCTGTTTTTCAGCTATTTTTTGTCGGGCTCAGCATGAAGCAAAGTCTTGTTCAGTTACGGTTTCGCAGTAAGTTTTTTCAAATCTGTTCTTATTTTTTCAATATGTTTCGTGTTTTAGAATTGAGAAATGTATAGAGTTTTGTATATTACCAATTGGTAAACTTTATGGAAATTATAGACTTTTATCACTGAGTTTGGAATATCGATCAGTGATTCGTTCTACGCGCTTACTACTCTATAATAATGATTTGGACGAAACACTTAAAACATATGAACTCATATGGTCACTGGTGGAAATCATCTTTATGAAGTCGCACGGTCGATTTTTTTTTTCATTTTTAATTTTCTCTTTAAAATTTTCTCTTTGAAATTAATTTTTTTAATTATATTGTGAGCTTCTTTTCAGGATTTTTATGGATCATTTTTGTTTCGTTTATAAAGACCAATATTTTTCCCAAATATGTGTGTAATATATAAATGTACTTTCAGATTCATCGATAGTGATAGATTTAATAACTTGGGCGCGGTTGTGTTTCCCATTTACTTATTATGTGGATGAAATATCTCCGTGCTTGAGACAAAGTAAAATCAGATCACTTGATAAAAGAATTTTTTGGCAACAAGTTAGTTATATTAGCAGTCGTTTCATTAGTCTGGAATATAATGCTATTACCTTAACCATAGCTATTTCAGATCGCATATTTTCTGTTAAGTGGTTTATTCAAAAATGCCATCACAATGTTAGAGACTTATGGCCAAATTGCTGATGATGAAGCTGTGAGAAAGTTGGCTGATGTTATTACTGGTTACAAGATTGAACTACTTAACAACGAATCACAAATAGAATTTATGAATTATCAACGGGTTATTATTGATAATTTTTAGTTTTTTTTAAAGTTCGAAAAAAACTTCGACTTTTTTTAAGGGCCCTCACCATTACTGGTTAAAATCCCTCGGCTAAATTGTCGTACAAGATAAATATGCCAGAGTCCCTTGGCGACAGAAGTACGGATGAATCGCCATCTTCACCCAGATTTACCACTTGCGAGGAGTAGTACCACTTCATCATCGAGGCTTCGAATTGAGCAACAACCCACTGAGCCATTCTATCCCCATTTCCAACGAGTTATTATTGTATTTTTTAGTTTTTTTCATATTGCAAGAACTTCAGCTTTACTATGTGTTGAAAGAAGAATGTGGAATCAAGCGTATTTTAGGAAATACGCGATTTATGTATGGAAAAATATTTTGAATCAAATCGAGATGCAGAAATGATCGCTCTTTTGCTTTCCGGTGATCAAGAAACTTTATTATCACTATCTCATCTCGTTGATAATTGGTTTGAATTGGTGCCTGCTTATGCTCTTTTCATAAGACCATATGCTGCACTTTCTGATTTGCATGAAATAGCCAAGGTGTTTGTGAAGCATTTTTTTTTCATTAGTTTTGATAAAACAGATAGGATAATCAAACTTGTTAGGATAAAGAGCAATATTAGTAGGTTATCAAATAATTAAGATTTTCTCGAACTTTTGTTGGTATTTTTAGTTTCATAAATTCAGAATTTCAGCAATTGTGAAAACGAAACATAAATTTTTAATTGCTTTAATTAACTTATTTTTTTTATATTTTTTATAGACTTGTGCAAATATTTGTGGCTGTAATGATCATCCTATCGATGATATCATAAGCAGTTTATTTTCGCTAGATGCACCTCGTGCCTTGCAAAATATTGCTAGGGCCAGTGCAGATTGGTGGTTGGCAGCTCATCTAGCTGATCTCTTGCAGAAAGCTGATAATCGTACTACCACAGTCTTTGGAGTTGACATAAGACAGCATTTACTTGTTGATTATGCTCTTTCCTTGTTTTCTTATTCTGGGTTATTTTTTAGCATTTTTTTTATTTTTATGTAGCTTTAATTTTGGAAATCCAGTCTTCGATGAATTTTACATTGATGTGGTTCCCTGCAGTTCAGCTGGATGGTATTTTTTTAAATCAGTTTTTCACTTAACATGGTGTGTAAATAATTGATTCCCATGGCTTGCAAATTTTTTTGCAGTTTGTGGCAGATTTCCTTTGATTATCTCAAAGAATGTGGTAGTGATGGTTTTGAGAAACTGGAATTACTTATACCTGCAGTGCCACTGAACAGCGATATCACGGCTATTAAATTGAACGATCTTTGTCTCGATTTGGGATTAAATCATCTTTGTGCCGATATAAATAAAGCAATGGCATATAGGTATGTTTCTCGTTTTTGATACCATCTTTCTCCTAAATTTAAGCAAAATTTCGAAATTATCTGGTTTTTTAAATTGGTGTAATACCATCTTTGATTGCAAAATCATTGGGACATGATAATGCAGGTGGGATTTCAACAACCAATTAAATTCTGCTTTTTACGATAGGTTTTAAAGTTGAAACCATGCTATAAAAACGAGAAAGCTTTTGGTCTTTTTTACCTGATTAGTTAAAATAATCATTAAAAAATTAGGAAATTAAAACATCCTATGCGAAGATAAATTTATTTAGGATGTTGCGGCACAAAGAATGGGGTAGCGCTCTCACTTGGGCTCTCCGTTCTGTAGATACATCGCTTCATTCGGCAATTGCAGATTATATATTGCACTTTTGTCCACCAGAAGTGATTTCATCAATCGCAGTATTAGAACAGATGTCTGAAATTATGTTAAAGACACCAGCACTCGTTTTTCTTCATGAATATCGCAAATTCCAAAATCTTTTACGAGATGGAGACAAAACTGAGGCAGTAAATCTATTAGTATGTTACCGGAATTTCATAAAATTTCAAAAATTTTTGATCGTCGAAGATTTATTTTTTACTAAATTTTTTTATTTCCATATATTTATACTATTTATTCAATCAAAACGATAAAGATTAACATAGCGATAATACTTTCAGGTTACACTAATAATCTATGATTTTGCACCCGACAAATTTCGGGCGAACTTATTTAATGATCTCATTACGATTCTGAACCTTGATTGCGGGGTTTATTTTTTACCGTTTCTTATTAGAGAGAAATAACACACATTGAATATATTTCATCGAATCATGGAAAACCGATTATTTTTATTAAGGTTTAACCCAGGTTAAATTGTTTTTACAGCTTGATAGCGTAGTCAATAATCCAATTTGCTTTAATAATTTAATGAAGATTGAATCGAAACCGTTGAAACAGCAGAATAAGATCACCAATCAATTAATTTCTTTCTTAAAAATCCGATTAAAAGTAAAATTCCCTAGATCCATAATTTCAGGTTGTGAATAAAGAACGGACTATGCAAGTACTTCAATATCTCGCGATAAATAGCACCAGTGAAAAGCGGCTTGATGAGGAAAACATGGATATCTTAACAAGTGAGCAATTGCAAGTGAACATTCTGCGACAAGCGCTCTTAAAAAATCTTTTAACTGCGGTGATTTCTTGATCATATACATTGTACAAAACATATACTCGTTAACATCTTTAAATATTTTAAATACTTACGAGTGTACGAGTGTCATATGAAAATATAAATATATAATACGTAAATAGTAAGCAAACAAAATTACAAAAAAAGTTAATGAAAGATAACTTCATATAAAACGTGTTAAAACATAAATATAGCAAAAATTTCTATTCACATATATGGAAACAATATATATCAATCAGTAGATATATAGAAATCGTTTGCACTTTATGGATGATCTTTTGACCTTACTTCACTACCACTTTTTCAAAAAGGCCGCCATCATTGTGAAATGTATTTGTCTCCTATTATTTAAAAATCTCCACATTCTAAATTTTAAATTCTGTCGCCTGTTTGCTTGAATTTTCTTTGATTTTTTCCTTGGGAGATTTTTATTCTCTTTCATTCTTAAAATTCCTTTTCTTGGCATCCCCTAAAAACGCTGAAATTAGTTATATTATTCAGTTCAAATCAAAAATTATCAGGACTTTTTCATCGTTTATTTTATATTTCATACATTTTGTTTTATACATTTTACACATTTTTGTGTAAGAATGAGATCAATAAATCATTTTCATATAATGTGGAAAGACAAAAGATAGAACTGCAATTATATTAACAACCCGAAAAATCCATAATAATTTGGTAAAAATGATAGGTCAAATTTTATAGCCGAACCAATAAATCAGGCCAATTTAAAACGGCAGAAAAAGATGATGAATTATTTACTATAATATTCAATTAACATTTTTTAGCACTCTTAAATAAGGGAGAAAATGGATTAACAATTTAATTTAAAACAATAAAAGGAAATCACGAGAATTTTATCTTATCAAAAAAATAATTCATTGACCCAAAATCTTAGTTTCAGTAGTAATTTGTATAATACATTAGGCTTAGGCATATAATTAATTTTTAAAAACATTCATCACTCCAATGCTGACCGTACCTTGCTGATTCTCCATATTCCGAAAGTGATTCGTCAAATGAATGGTGATTCGGAATAGCAAGAGAGGGAGTACTGCCACCTGCCATTCCTCTCAGTGCTCTGCAAAACGAAATTTACAATTATTATACTAGAGGAGAAGAGGATTGGATATAATGCGGCTTCGATGGCAGTGGATCATTTTTATAAAGGAAGAAAACAAAAAGAAATTGAGATTTTTTTTAAAAGCAGTTCAAGCATGAAAACAAGCAAATAGAAAAAAAAAGAAAAAAAATATTTAACTACATACATATGATCAGCCGAAATCCGCGTTAATGCCAACCCGGAACGTACTGGACGCGTTGTGCGTCTTATCGGTGTTGGCAATCGCTATAAAACAAAACAGAAATAATAAGTGGTAAAAAAAACTGCAGAAAGTTTAATCTACGACATTTGTAATAATAACAATATTAATGATCAAACGATGATCATAGCTATATATTCATCTATAAAATCATATGCCTTATTATAGTATGCAATCTACATGTGCATTCTCGTCGAACAGAACATGAAATGTGGCATTCTACGAAGATACAGGTAATACAAGTGATAAAATATAATCCATTCCCTCTGTAGTAAATAATTCTATTGTGGTTTCGCAGTAGATATTACAGTATTATAGTAAAATCAAAAATAGTGGTAACTATAGCAAAATAATACCGATATATGGTAATTGGTCGGTGCAGATGAAGAATTTATGGGGCTTTCAGTAGAAAAATCAACTGAACGAGATGATGCCATTGCATATTTAACATTATCATTTAGCATAATCTTCTCCATTGCTAAAACCGGATAGGAAATGAACAAATAAACCCAATATTTGAATTTAATAATACCTGTGACGACAAATATTCATGACGCAAAACAAGAAAAAACTAAACCAAAATACCAGATCGAGTTTTCCCGCTTTCGCTATTCAGAGAAGATTTTCTTTGCCGCATTTCTTCCCAAAGCTCTGAAATTCAAAGAATTTATCTAATCCATTTATATAAATGTTCGCTGAGTTGTACGGTGCTTTGGCTGATGGCATAGTATGAAATCGAAAACAGCAAATTTCAATCTTTGAACTTATTAAAATAAATCTGACTGCAAATGCAACTAAAGGACCATTTGTAGGGAACATATAATGAAAATAATTCTATAAGTGCAATCGCGAGAGCCGAAAAATGGGAAAAACTGAAATTTTTAACTTCTTTGACATTTTTAGAGAATTTTACCAAGGAAAGCATTTAGGAAAGCAAATATCAATTAAATCGGTGTCGAAAAAATAACATAGTTCACATGCATTCTTGGCATACTTCATAATAGCGTAAGTCAACTTCCTCCATGCTATTGATGCGCTATCGCAATGGAGTAGAATTCACGAATTCCACTCTTTTAAAACTGATAAAAAATCTGTTTGGTAAGGCCGTCACGCCTACTAAATAAATTTTATGGAAGTGGTATAGTTGGTATATGTTTCGAAATCGATATAAAACGAAAAGGACAATGTTGCAATGTTCAAACAAAAATATCGTCTAGAAGGCAAAGGAACATATTTTCTGCAAAATTTTTCACTTTTTTAGGACAATTTTTTCGTACAACCGTATAAGAAAAGTTTTTAGGATTTAGAATGAAGGATATAGTATTATATTCCATCTATTTTATAAATATTATAGACTTTAAAAAACGACCAACCGATTTCTTGTTGATGAACTATATTCTGGATATCACTTAAATCAGGAGTATTAACTTTTGCTGCATTTTTTAATGGAGTTTCGAACGGCGATGATAACTGCTGTTGTTGCTGGAAATTCTTATATAGTAAATTTAAAGAAAACGAAAGAAAAACAAATACTTTTTTGATGATGGTTGGAGCCACTTTAGCTGTATTATTTGGCCATGTTGATCTAGCTGAAAGATTCAACAAATCGTTTGGAGGAAATTTGGTTGATGCCTTATTTCCCTGTAAATACATGCCACAAATAACTAGAAAAAAAATTATTATGATAATTTCAGTAAAGATAATTTAGAACAAACTTACATTTATTTCCGAAGTATCAGAAAAGGACAATTCCGAAGTCTCTGCTAATGTTTGTAAATTTGACGCTGTTCTTATCTTATCAGCAGACCGTGTTTCTATAAATCGCATTAAATATCATCAGCTAACAACTAATAAAATCGTCCAAAATTTAGTGAGAATAAATCCGAATCCTCGTAAAGTTTTGATTTTTAAATTTTATGCGAAATTTTCTTTGTCAAAAGAAATAGTTCTAAATTCAGATCAATAAACGAAGATTCTGATCTAGCATAATCAAAATATCAAATGAATATTATACAAGTTAGTTTAATGATTAAAAAATTTCAAATTCATCAAATGAAATGTTAAATCGAGATGTTTATTATTTGCTATGTGCATATTAATTATCGTGCTATAAAATTATTAGACAAATCTTTTAACAATCAATTTAATCATTGAAACAAGGGAGGATCGAATTCTTTTCCAAATCGTTCAACAAGCATACCTTTAACTTTGAAGATAAATGAATTATAATTAAAAAATAAAGTAAACACTTTTCATTAGACCACTTACGTGATAAAAATACCTCTCAATACCTCATTTAAGCGAAGAAATATGTATATATATCTAAACAAATAATTCTGAGAAAAAATGAAAGGCTTCCCATTTCATTACATACATCTAACAGATAAGCCAATTTTTGTTGAAATGATAACTGCAAAGCATTCCATGCAAATATATTGTTTGACTATACATCACTAATAAATTATCTTCGTAACCATAACATAGTTTATTTAATTAACCCTGAATAATATAAGCGAAAAAATAAACCAAAAATAAAAACGGCGAGTTAATGTAATGGCAAGAAACGCAAGATTTGAAAATTTAGCAAAGAAAGAAACAATAAAACACCTAATAAAGAAATAAAATAAAGATGCATATATCCTATTTTTAATAACCTTGAAATCAACAAAATAAATAAAGGATAAAATCTTTCTTTTCGATCTTTGAAAAATTGGCACAGGAACACTCAAAAGCTTGAAAGCTTGAAGCAATTTATACGAAGAAAAATTTGACCGAAAGAAAAGATAAAATAAAAAACAAAAAAACAGAAAAAAAAGCTGAAACAGAAAAGGAAAAGCCAAAAAACAAAAGAATAACCATATTCACCGGATGGCGATATTCTCTGATCCGGATTCTCATCATTAATTGATGATTCTGATATAGCATCGAAAAATTCATCATCAGAAGTACTCGTCACTTCATTTTCCTTCATGATTTCTTCATCTAGTTCATTTTCTACGTTTCCTACGTGATCATTCTCAAAGACAACATCTAAGGTCATAGAACGACGCATATCTGAGTTATTTAAAGCAGCTGCGGAATCGCTGGTCAACGTTTGTAAACTATAATGACTAAGCAATTGATCTGCATCTTCGACAGAATGTATCGACGATGACGACGGTGTAGATGCAAATAATTTTTCGATTTTCCTTTCTAAAACCAAATATGTACGATGTTGTAAAAGGTGAAATGATCCAAACAAAAGTAATCGAAAAAAAGCTTCTGGAAGGAAAAAGCAAAATTTTGGATGAAAATAAAATTTTGAAATGAAACAATTATGATGCGATTTCGATGAACAAAACAAATACATCAACAGGAAAAAAAAACAAAACAATTCACTGAATTCAAAAAAATATTACTGAAATTTAAAAGCGAATGATTCATCCATGAAGAAATTCTGGAATTACTATAGTACCAATTTTAAAGAATTTGAATAAATTTGTATAAAAATCTATATAATAACGAAAAATAAATTAGACCAAAAAAAAGAGATACAACCGCCCTAAAGCTATAGCTAAAAATCTCAATGAAAAACTTTTTAGCGACCTTATCAAAAACTTCCTCTATCATAAAGATATAGATATTAAAACCATTCGGAAATATTAGGCTTAATACAATAAACTAAATTTTTTCACTGAATGAACAAAGCATAAAATAAATTGTAGACGAAATAAACGAATGATCATCATTTAGAACTGGCGTTTTGATAAAATTCACAACATTTGCTGAATGGACTACTATTGTTCGCAAAAATTCAACTAAACAGATGAATGATGGCTATTACTGTTATTATTAGTTCATAGCAAAATAAATTAATTCAATTCAATAAATAAAACATGGGATTTAAGAGATCGGATATGGAAAAGAAAAATTTGCAAAAAGATTTTTGTAAATTGAACAGGAAAACCTATAAAATGCACAACCATGCAAATAACTGAATCATTCATTATATCATCACCATCATACATTTTACATCAAAATGAATGACCCAATCAACGGATCATAGTCTAACATTAAAATAAAGAGTTTCCCATATAAATCACGGAAGCCGAAAAAAATACTAAAACAGCAAATTTAAAAGGAACTGTAAACTTTCTAAAATTATTAAAAGTTGATAATTTATTGGATAAGTATATTTGACGAAGAAAAATGCAATTAAGTCATAAAATCATGACAATAAAAAATAAATCAATAAAAAAATATAATCTATGTTGAATTTAATAGTTTGCAAAAGAGTGCCACGGAAAATCGAGAATGATTCGGGCTCGAATCTGGTAGGCGAAAGTTTCTTTAGGTGGCCGAAAGATGAAAGCAAAAATAGGATTAAGTGGGAGTTACTAAGTTTGGACAGATAGATGATGTTAAGGCTCTACGTCTGATAAGAGTAAACCTTTTTTCCAAAAATCTAGGCGACTCACCTGTGCTTCTATCGCCAAATGGTTTAGTAAAATTTATCTGGTAAAAGATTTATGGTCCAATCGAATGAGCCTAACTAGTAACGCAGCGCTCTTGTAAAAAAAGTATAAAAGAACCTAGAAATAATATGCCAACTATTAATGGAATTTTTTTTTAAGATCACTCACCATTACTGGTTAAACTCGCTCTTCTGGCTTAGGACAGACAGAATTGCCAAGGAGTCTCTAGGTGATAGAAGTACAGAATGAAATACGAGTCGCCAACACCACTCAGATTTTTGGACATGCTTATTCCTGTCGGGAGTAAAATCTCAGAATCTGCGCTCCGAATTGAGCAACAAACGCACTGAACACCTTACGCGAGATTATTGCCAGACGAAGCGAGATGTGTCGGTGGATTCGAATCCAAGCCTCGATTCTGGATGGCAGTTACCTTGCCACTGAGCTATCGATGCACCAACATTAAATCGTGAAAAGACGAAAATTACGAACACTAAATGAACGATAATCCAACTGCCAATGCAATAATATGTGCCAATTAAGGCAGTACTATGTATTAAGGTCGTTTTTTTCTTGATAATTCAGAAATAAAATATGATCGGTTAGTGTGAAAATTGAAAGGAATAAACAATAAACCAACTTTTTTTTGCCGCATGACTAGCTAATTTTCGACTTAATGCACTTCTTGTTTGAAAATCAACGTTCATATCTGCACCCTTAAATAAAGCCTTATATGAGCGATTGCTTATAAAGGAATCCAGCTATTCATTACTAACAATTAACAGGAAAGAAGTTAATTAACAGGAAAGGAGTTATTCAAAATTTGACTCCTTGTTCGATACCAGATCTTGAAGATTAAGGATCATACTTCTAAGCGTTAAAGAGAAAGTGTCTGAATATGCATAATCATGCATAATCCGAGAAAGAAAGCAACACTGTATGAATGATTTTATAATAAGACGCTCGGAATGCACCTACATAGTGGCAATTTTAAATTGCTCATCCATGATTCATATTATGATGAAATGCGTGCGATTGGTGGTGCGGACCCATTTCAGTGATAACAATGAAAGCTCAAACCAGAAAAGTTAGCCAAACCATAAATGACGAAAAAAAAATATAGACACGTTTATTCCACTATAATAATGATGTGGATTGTTTTTTAAAGATAGTTGAAATATGTTTCGGTAACTAAACTGATAAAAATTAGGTGCTACAATGAAAATACATAAAATATTAAATTAAAAAATATAGGAAAAGTTAAAGCAAAAAGAGGAAGCAATGTTAAATTTCAAAAAAATCTCATCAAGAATAATGACGTGCCACAAAATATGTCAAGTGCTTCAGGTAAAACCTACAGCTTTCGAGGAGCCAAAGAAGTAAAATGCGGTGGAAAATGCATTCAACAACTCTTAAAGCATCTAATCGATGGCCTAAAATTATTTATCTACGCAGACCAGTTGCTTCGACTGAGAGGAGTGAGGCTAACATAAAAAGTGAAGTTCGGGTGGCTGCTGGGAATCTCGGTTGTGCCTAGCGATTGCAGCTGGTGGGAAGATTAAAAAGTACTGCCATGACGGAAATCTAAATCAACCGCTACTTAATAATTCGTTAATTTCAGCTTCACAAAAATATTTTAAAAAGCTCACTTGAAGCCATTCTAATATACGACCAGAATTTTGTGACGTAACATCAGACGGAGGTGCAATTAACCAAGTTTCTTCGTCAAATTCGCTTGGTCCAATCGAATCAGCAACACTCTTTGGTATTTCATTACACATTGCCATATTCTAAATTTTCAAAACAATAAAAAGAAACACTGAGTAGCAAATTTTAAGGGATTATCTAATACTGGGTGAACTAGAAATTCCACTCTGCCACCCCCCACTATTTCTCCGATAATCCCCAACCTGTTGTCAAACCGAATAATCATGGACTTTAACGAATTAAACCTTGACGTCCCCGTCCCTTCCTCCTCCTCCTCCCCCCATTATCCGCGATCAAACAAACCTAACCAGTTTCCACAAATCAATTCAATCCTCAATGGCTCTTCAACTACGTTCCACGCTTTCATAAACTTCGGTTCTATCAAAAACTCGTACCATATTTGCGTACTGGTGGTTGTGCCTTTGTACCATGATTGGTATTCGTATTATTGAAAATGGCCGAGTCATGAGGAATGGGGGAGGGTGCGGAAATTGTCGTCCTTGTTGATTTGACCGCCTTTATGTGGATGCTAATTCATCCACTTGTATCTCTATCGGCCAAATGGCTCTCTGACAAATATTTCCAGTGGTACCAATAACTAGTTGTAGAGTAAATCTAACCAGAAATGGTGAATGGCTAATGGTGAATGTTTAATTAACGCTTATATTTTGATTCTTGTGGAAAATTTTTGGCGAAGAGCGATTAGTTTTTAATATTTCCAAAAATTTGTTGAAAATCACTTAATGTTCGCAAAAATTGTAAAAATGCAAATATAACTAAATTTCATAAATTTTTGAATCTAAAGATAGTTCCAAATCCATCAATTGTAATCTTAATTTAATTGAACGTTATAGTGCTCGGTGATGTGGTGTGTCGGTGGCTTAGTGGCAAGGTAACTTCCGCCGAGGATGAAGGTCTGAGCTCGAGTCCGCCAGTGCACCTCCTTTCGTCGGGCAGTGGTCTCGAGTAACGGAGAAAAACAAAGAAAAGAAGGGAGAAAGGTTGTTTCTGAAAGCGCAGATGCTAGTCCTGAAATCTGTCCAAAAATCCGCGTGATACTGACAAGTTGTACTCCTGTCGCTAGAAACCCGTGGCAAATCTGTTCAATGTGGTAAGCCAGAAGGGTGACTCTAATTAATAATAGTGACTGCTCTTAAAAAAAAGCTCATGATCCAGGCCAATAATTATTTAATAAACGAATTGAAAAACTAATTAAATGTCCATATTTCCATCTTCTCTCCTTTCTTATTAATATTTAATATTTATACTGCAATTTATAAGTTTATCGTCCCTTTCTTTCTAATGCTTTAATTCTAATTCTAATTGTTAATTGTACTGATAATGATAATGATAAAAATTTAAATTTGCTGATTAAACTATTAAACTATGGCAATACTCGAAATGGTATGCATTCGTTATGGACTACGGGAATTAAATTGAAGATTTGAGGTCGATCTCCAGCATCACTCCAATTTCTTTATTGATAAGTGCCGGAGGCAGAATGTGAACCTTGACAGAACGAAACACAATCTCTCGACCACTTTGTTTTTCTAGGAAATTCTATGACTTGTTGTTATAAAATTTGAATAGCTAAAGTGGCATTACACAATTTTTGCGAATTTAGCGTTGACTATTGGAACAAATTAACAAAATTGGAATGCCTACCAACTAATTAACCCCTAAATCAACAGTTTTCAGTCTTAAAAATCAGCAATTTAGTATAATTAATGCTTTAAAATTTTGCGCTATTTATACAATTTAATTTTTCCTTAAAACTTCAACAACTCATCGATCACGAATTTTTATTCTCTTTTGTTTTTACTTTATTTGTGCGAATCGTTCGTTCATTGCAAGGAATGGAATTCATGCAACAATGGATGACACAAGTCATTACGTAAATTTGCACAAATCGATAATCCATATTTTCCGTGAAAAAAAATTGAAAATTTTCTTAAAAAATGAGTGAATGAAGGAAGAAATTATTTTTCCAGGAACTTTCTGAATTGGAATTGGAAAATAAATCACATAACTGGCGCAATAACGCGCGATTCGATACCACAAAGATCTCTTCCAGCTTCAAATTTTACATATCCACCATTTCCCCAACTACAAATTATATTTTTTATTGAAAATATAAAGATTTTGCAAATTAAAATTAGTGCAAAACTCAACGAAAAACAATTACTTTGTTCCCCAGCTGTTTTTAATAATCCAGTAGTCTTTTCCAGACAATGAATCTTTTCCATATCCAACAATCGCTATCGCATGACCGCCATAAGAAGCATCGGAGCATCCTGAATAAACGCCATCACGGTAGTTGAAAAATTCTCGACTAACCGTAAAACCTAAAATAACCCAAATTGATATTTTCCTATCACAATTGTCGTAATTGCAAATTAATGATGAGGCACAGTTACAATGGCAATATATTCATGGTTCGTTGATAAACAAAGAAAAGGAAGATACCAGCAGCGACAGGTCCTTGACTGGCGATATGTCTTCTGATGGCATCTGCGTTTGGTTCAATTGGTACGTGTCCACCCGTGCGATAAGCAGGTCTAGTTGATTGTCTGCAATTTTGTTGGTACCCAACATATGGCACATCTCTCTCACGATAAACGCCATATTGACCAGTATGACTAAAGCAGATACCATGAGTAAAATAAGTAATTTGCAATATTTTCCAATTTCACTGCTTTCCATAGCATTGTTATATAAGAGCAATTAATTCATGAAATAAGCAAATTTAAATTATGAGAAAATTTTAACTCGAGTGCTCTGTCCATAAAGCCACCGTCGCACCCATAACTATCACGTGCACAGTCAAGAACTGCTTGTTCTGATAAATCTTCTGATATGTTCTGTCGAATCATCAAAGCACTTTCTATAACAGCTATTGCAGCAAAAGACCAACATGAACCGCACGAGCCTTAATAAAAATATGCATTAACCTTATTTTATTATATTTTACTTTTATATTTTCTAGCATTGCATTTTTTAAATTAGTTGTAAATAACGTGGATTTTGGCTTTTTCCCTTCAACCGGAATGAGCGTGCCATTAAAGGAAAATCCAAAAACCTTATCCAATTAGTGAGTGGAATCAGCTAAATATCAAGATGGAGATCTTTATTAAAGGAAAAAGGTGCAATTGACAAAACTCATTTCCTAAGTAAGTAGTGATGAGATACGACACAACCTCCGTATAAAGTTACCGTTTTCTTCTAAAAAAGCTATTTTTCGTGCAAAAAGCTATTATAATTCAAATAAAGGAAAATAAGTCTGGAGGCTTCTACCTTGATGCCTAACCGGACTAACTTTGTTTTTACTTCTCCAGTCAACTGCATTACGCTCTGTGTAGTCATTATCATCGTAATCATCAATTACTACGACGCCTGGCTCGCAAAAATTATCCTTTGTCCAAGCAGTTGCTTTCGTTGATTTTGGCAGTGCACTGTTCTTCATTAACATCTATGCGAGAAATACTATAATTTTTTGGTTTCGTATAATTTCCAGTTTAAATCTACACATAAGTTAAAATCAAATAAAAACCTGTTTCATTTCTTCATCTGTTCTATCTGTAAATGTAGTCACTCCAAAAGTTGTATGAGGATATTTAGCGTTGTGCTCAGTGATTTCCATCAAATTCTTACTAAATACTTTGAATCTTTCATTTTTTTCTTCTTCACTTGAATACTGTCTATTAAATCTAAAATTTTTCCCATAAGCATATATTGACCAATATCGTATGCAGCTAGATTTGGCTTATCACCAATTTATTACTCCACTTATCTTATCAAGATCTTATCAAAATAGTAGTCATTATTCATTTTTTTATGTTCTAAAAAAATTAACCACCAACGTTTTTACAAAATTTTGAAATTCTCGATGATGATGAGCCGGATAGAATTGCTTTGGAAGAGCGAGTGAGATTGCTAACGTTCGAAATATTAAAAAGACTCGTATAAAATGAAATGTCATCATTGTAGAAATGCTAAAAAAAAGCTATTATTATGAATGATTTACTTATAATTTAAAAATTTCATCGATATATAGTCTTAAATAAAACTGGAAATTCTAAAGGGTTTTGACTTTCAAATCGGTATTTATAATTTTTCTTATCAGATTTTCGAATGAAATTTCTATTTTTAGAAAATTCTTATCGGGTGATTATGTTATAAATCCATAACAATTCAATAAAATTTCATAAACAATCCCATTTAAATATGAAACTCTTGTGATTACAGCGATCATCGTTCACAACAAATTATCTAAAGGGTCGTTGATTACAGCGAAATATATCTTTTAGATACTTCTCGACAACATTGAATTATCAATAATAATATTCTGATTTTGGATCATTTCCGTAAATTTTTATTTCATCCTTAAAAAATTTAAATTTTGCTGCCAAAAGTTTTCAAAAATAAATTTGCAAGCTTCTAAATATTTTTGAAGCATTTCATTGGTTTCTGAGGTTGGAAGATGTTAGCGTTGCCAAATGTATACTGAGTATTCCAATTCCCGTACGTTCTATGCGATTTCAATAAGCGTTCCGCGAAATTTTCCTTATTTTCGGCCATTTCATGAATGAAATTTTATTCATCTTTCTTTTAGCTCAATCCATTTAAGCGATATAAGGCTTGCGTAATTTAAAAGCAAAACATGGGAATAGGCTCGATGCATATACATATACATGTCACCCGACTTCGAAGAATTCAAAGACCCACAAATGTCGATCCCATTAAAGTCTTATTTTTGCATTTTTCATATGGTTGTTACTGCGTTTTATTTTTTTATAAGTGTATTATTTTCGAATAAATGTGTACAATTATTTTAGTTTTTTCGTAATTTTTGTATGCAAATCTACTGATTTGGTTTTGCATAAGTAAACACTTGACAAACAGTACTTCCTCGTTTCTAAACGAAAATACGCAAAATGCTTCTATTTAAATGGGAGAGTTTGGGAAAGCTGATTTCTTTCTTTGAGTTTCATTCGTTTGCTGCCTCTGGTGAGAGTAAGGATTCTATTGGAGGAGCTATGCAGTGGGCCACTGGCGTATCATCTATTCTATTCCAAGACGATTCTCTGGCAAACGTCCCACATCTAGTGGAATGTCTAATGGCCAATGGAGCGAGCCTGTAGAAAAGTTGTACCGCCAATTACTTGCAAATATATTAAAATTATAAGTGAGTATCATTATAATTATTTTTATTATCCGATCATCGAAAAAACTGAATGGTGAACAATGCTTCATATTCGGATATATAATGAATTTTTTTGTATGTTTTGGATTTAAAAAATGTTCGAAAGCTTGATGTCTGGATGAGAAATTTAATTAATTTCAATTCAATGAGAAGACCATGTCATCAAGCTGAGCACCAATTACGAGCCTTTTAGCAATAACAGTTTGGTTTTTCTAACCTAGTTTAATTGCTTTCAGCTTTACGACTTTTCCGGATGAAATCTTCAAAAATCGTATGAATGAAGCTTTCGAAATGATCTAAAAATAGGTGCAATTTTAATTTAATTTTGAATTTTGAAGATTCGATACTCGATATTTAAATATTTTTATTTAAGTTTATTTGGTTTTAGCCGAAGGCAAGCGGTATGAGTTTGAGTGCGCAAGAGAAAGCGAGTTTGGATAACTGTCGCATATTTCTTTTTCATGCTTTTCATTCATTTTGTTCGCAGATGACTCTCTGGCGAAAGGGCTTTGCTCATTTGCAAATTCAAATCAGCTCAACCAGAAATAATCCGTTCTGCTTAAACAAAAGGATAAAGAAGAATAGCGGAATTTCATCAACCGTTTAATGACAATTTGATCACATAACATTCAATTTCACTTAATTTTCATCGAAAGCAAAGTTGCCGTTTTTTGAATGGATTATTGAAAATATTTATGTAGAAAATATTTCAGATCGAATTCCTTCAATTTCAGTTGTTTTAGATTAAAGGCGCAAAAACGAAATTCTCCAAGCCGCAAACAACAGTTTCAATTTTTCCTTAACCATTACTTCCCCAACTGAAATTTATTCTTTCCAGTGAAAGAAATTTCGCGATGGAAAAATTCCAATAAAAAAACTTGTTCCCCAATTATTATATTTTCATTTTTAATAAGCCAATAGTTTTTCCTCGAGTTTCTATCAGTGCCATACCCGACAATGGTCACATGATGTGCACCACAGCCACCACAAAATGCGAATAGATACTTCTGACTTTCAAAAGAATAATAAGAATAAATAAAGTTGCAATCAAATTAACAAAAACGCAGTTGAAGCAAATCCACCGATGCACCCACGACTCCTCATTTTATAAGCTCTTATCTGATAAATCTGCTGATAATTGTAATATCAAAGTACTTCGACCACAGAGCTGCAAAAGACTAACAAGAATCGCAATAATTTAAAAGTAATAAATGGTTAAAGTTCGTAAGTGATTATCGAAAGAATTCATCTATTTTCCACTTATAATTATTATTCAAATTATAAATTTTGCAAATTTTTTTTTCTTTTTTGCCGTTATTTGCCATTTTTGTGGTTATATTACGATTGTATTTGGTTCAGTTAATGGTAATTAAGCTTTTATTTTCTCTGAATTGAGCCAGTTAGCGCGAATTCGTCTCTGATCTTTAAGTGGAAAAACCAACCATTAAAAGTGTCAGAATTTCCTAGCTTATTAGCGGACTTAGGCATGTTCTGTCTTTAAGTCAATCTCTGGCGAAATAATATCATTAGCCAGTAAAATCGTCCAGATTAAAAATTCTGAGCCTTTTTAAAAAAAGAAGAAAAAGTTTAGCTTGCTCAATCACGACGAAAAATGTATTGGTTGCTTTTACTGCAAAGAAGATTGATTTTTTAAAATTATTTTTAATGATTGTTTCTCGGAAACGGTTATTTTAACAACCGTTTTGTTTTAAAAATATTCTTTAAAAATCGAGCTTACCTATTTTTAATTACTGAAAATTCAAATGAAAGTAGAAATAATACGAGGCAGAAGATCCTATGGGCTTTAGGTGGCAGGTTTTTGGTAGAAAGACTAAATTCCTATTGGCTTTCAATTTTCTCTTCGATTTTCGGTGCTTAATAATAACTTACCTTGATGTTTAATCGGTGAAACTTTCCCTTTTCTTTTCCAATCAAATACAATTTTCCTTTCATTTTCATCAATTTTTTCCTCGTAACAATGATTTTTTTTGGCAATAATGCGGGATCAATTAATTCCAGTAATTTTTTATTATTGTTTAATATCTAAATTAAGGAATTTACCACAAAATTTTTCTTGTTTTCAGTAATTATCGCTAATGTAAATAAATAAATGAACCTTTTTCATCTTTTCTTCACTTCCTGAAAATTCTATTTTGTCAAAAATACTGTAGAGATATTTTTAAATATATTTTGTTAAATTCCCACTGAATATTTCGAGTTTTCATTTTCTCCATCTTCGCTCAAATATCTCCGTTTAAATCTGAAAATTAATCGTTCGCATCCTTTTTAAATAAATATCTCGCAAAAATTTTTACTTTTTAATTTGCATTTTCGAATTTCCTAGAATTGGAATGAATATTTTATTTCAAAATCTTCAAAATTATTTCAAAATCTTAGAAAAGGAAATAACTTTTTTTTCTGTCAATAGAATCAGCAGAATCAGCGCAAAACGCCGCTTCACTCGCTCGTTGGCCAATATGTCACTAAAATTGTCGAATTAAAATAAAACATTTTAATAACAGTTGCCAATTTTTGTAAATCCGACAAACTCTGATAAATTAGATGTTCGCGACAGTTGAGTTGGAAGACAGTCGAAAGTTGATCCTTATCATGTTTTATGGCTCGAATCAGCCATATAATCGATGTTGATCACGAAAATCATTAAAGCAATGTAAGGAGAAAGTGTGAAAAAAGGGGGTTGAAAACATTAAAAATTTTTGATTAACTCATAGTCAACAACAACAAATATATTTTACTATAATCCTTAAATAAATCATTTTTGCGATATTTCACAATATTTGTCGTTGTGGAATGGGAATTTCGCGTATTCAGTTCGAGAATTTATGGCGTTGTTTTCTGTATATATTATTCACTAAATTATTAATAATTATAATTACCAACTTTTTCATGAAATTGCGGACTGACATTTTCGACGGTGAACGTGGTCTCGGTAATAATTCAGTTCAATACTGGATGAAATTATTATCATTGCAAAAAATGCGCAAAAATAAAATATCATAAGATAAAATATCATATGATAAATCCAAAAATGGGTGAAAAAAATATTCCATCAATCCAATTTCTAAGCTAATATCATTAAGCTTAATCACTATAAAAATTGTACTCATAACTTTTATCGGTAATTAACCTTGTTATTAAAAGTAAAATCAATGAAATTCCGAGGCTTCATTTTCCGTTATCTATAAGTAATCTTCATTCTAGCTTTTAATGGAACCAGAAATGAAGAAATGAAAGAATGCTATAAGAAAAATGATTTAAAAATGGGTTAAATCGATGATTATAAAAATACAGACCAGAAGATCTAGCATTAATGATGATTTATCAGTCTAAACCATCGTTATCAACAGATTAGTTACTATTGTATGAATAACATGGTGTTATTAAATTATTCGTTACAAGGCATCAAGAGGCTCAAG